CGTTGTGGCCGAAACGTCGTGAGAATTATTTTATTATGTTTATTTATTTATTATTTTATTATTTCCATTCTACGTGACTTTACCGAAAGAACCAAGAAGATGAATCCCTGCAGTCACGAAAGCTTTAAATCGAAATTTAATCCATGCACTTACCGTTTACAAATATTTACATATAAACACGGTGTGCTCTATGTTAAACCGCGTCTGCAAGGAAGTCTCCTTATGGAGAGGCAAGAGCATAGTTTCGTGCGCGCGCGCGTGTGTGTGGTAACACCAAAGTTCACTGAAGACATCAGTAAAAAAAACACCACAAAATAACACCGCATTCTTCTAAAATGGCCAAGGAGTCAGAACAAGATACTAAAAAACATCTTTCCTGAAAGAATGCTGCACTGTATATTTGACTACGAATATATATAAATATTTGTTTTAAGGTGAATCACTTTCGTCCAAATTAAATGGGATTTAGGTTCATTTTTAGAAGGAATGTTCTGCATTCAGGTAGATGGAAAAATATGCCTTACTGCCAATGTCGTTTTAAGACCAAAGATTTTTTTTTATGCTACCATCTGCTGACTGAGTTTCACGTGTCAACTTTTGAATGTAAATAGTGGAAACATTTCCGTAAACCTGTATAAGATTTTTTTTTGAGCAAAAAATGTCAAATCCGGCGGTTGGTTATGCAATTGCGAAAAAAACGCCTGAGAGCTGGGAAAATATTTACGTGAAAAATCGGTAATTGTCGCATCACAAGACTAAACTGAACTCCGTAATGCTTATTGTTCCTTTATTGATCCAACTGGACTCAGAAAATAGCCTAAAGTTCAAAACAAATCTGGAAAGGCCTTTTTCTAATCCAGTCTTTGAGAAAATTCAGGAATGTCGAATGATATATAACCCAACTGCATGCCAGTAAATTAAGTAAAATCATATTTTAGCTTTTTTCCTCACTGTTGATATCCAATTGAACGGATGAATGTTTTAAATAAACACTCTAGCTAAAAAAGTTGAAACGTTGACCTACATCAAGCTATTATACAAATAACCCCAGAAGCATGGCCACAAAATATGCATCCGTCATCATTGAGGCTCGAGCACAATTACTGTTATTCATAATGCTTCTGGAATAAAATGGGCAAGAGAGCGGGGCCATTTGATGTAACATTCACGCAGGATTGGGTATATATCTTAAGTGCAAAATATATTACATATAAGTTTAAAATATCCTCCCAAACACACCCTCGTGACGGCATGACAACGCAATTCTGTACGACGAACAGGATCCCGCGGCCGGCAGTGGAGCTGAACGAACACTCTAAGTACTGCTGGATGGATACAATGAACACAAACATCGTATAATGCCAAATAATGTGTTCATATTATACGTGGGTGATTTCACGGTGTGATGTAAGTTTGTTGATCGCATTTTCTTTCATTGCTATGTTTTCATGTAAATAAAACATGGAAATGCTGTGTACAAACTACAAACACAACTTAGATTATGTTTATTATATTTATTATTCGAGGTAAATAACTACTCGGTCTCCCTTTGAAAAATACACATGTTTCTTAAATACTTTTTCAGTTGAATCAAAGTAAAATATTTAAGGGTGTAATTTTGTAACATGTAAATACATGAATATGAGGAGTAAACACTTTCTAATTTCACTCCCTTGGCCTAGAAGAACTTCATGACATATTTTCTTATTAAATTAATGGATCTGCCATTATATGTGCGACAACACTGCCATTTTCTTGATTCATCTTCTTGGTTCTTTCGGTAAAGTCACATAGAAGGGAAATAACGTAAAAGGGAAATAATAAAATATTTTATTATTTTCTTCACTTTCCCATCTTCTTGGTTCATTCGGTAAAGTCACGTAGAAGGGAAATAACGTAAAAGGGAAATAATAAAATATTTTATTATTTCCCTTCTACGTGACTTTACTGAAAGAACCAAGAAAATGAATCCCTGCAGTCACGAAAGTTTTAAATCGAAACACTGTCATTGTGTGATATAACTTCGTATTACTTTCATTCCCTTGAAAAACAAAAAAAAGATTACTTTTTTTCCATACACTCGAACATAATGACCGGATTTGCCTGGCACTTCACAGAACTAAAACATTCGCAATGAAGCAACTTGAGGTAATGGCAATTACCAAAGAGGATAGCAATGTGCAGCATTTTCTAATAACAGAGCAAAGGTCCGAGTTGATAGCTGTTCCATATGGGGCCGTAGTGACAGACCTGCGTTTTCTTTCCTGTAGCCTATCTATGAGCAAAGACTGAGGTAATGTCTGGGTGAGTTGTTGCGGATGTGAATTCCTTGGCTTTTCGGCAATTGGGACGAGGATTAAGGAAATGAGCAAATCGCCCTCACACCTGCACTCCCTATTTTGTTCTTTTTCTTCACTTTCCCAACAACACCTGGAGTATGGCCAATTCCAGTGGTGATCTCGTGACAACAAGCAACATTCATTTCTGCCTTTCATGTGTTTTGACATTCAACATATGCAAGTTCTGCATTCAAGTTCTATATGATGGCTATTACAACACTGATTTGGCTTTATTCATATGCTGATAGATATTTACATGGCATCTATATATTGTTATTTGAATGCATTATTTGCACTTTATTTTAGAAGTTATATAATGTTGCCTAGATACCACAGATGGCAAGAGATAAGGACCTAAGAGTGATAGGTTTGACAGATGTTTGTTTGACAACGCTGATATTTTTATTTTGTATTTTGGATCGCAGTGCCTCCAGGCATCAGAACAATCGACCTCTGTTAAGTTAGAGATAACTTTGAAATCTTCTTCCCATTCAAAAAAACCTTCCCATGATGACAAACGTCTTCATAAAAAAATTTTATCGTGAGTTTTAAAGACACATTTCACACAACCGTATAAGCATATCTTATTTTCATTCTATTGTATTTTTGTATAGGACCAATCACAATATATTTAGATAAATATATACCCCCTAAATGACAATTATGAAATACCTTGGCACCATATTTATACGTATTTTAATTCTTAAAATTGAACAAGTCAATTGTACTCCACAATTAACTATACATAGCCAGTAACATTGCTCATATGTATATACAAATAACTGTGAAGGATTTTTGAGAAACTAATCTTGAAATATTCTTAGGTTTTTTCGGTAAAGTCACGTAGGTAAAAAATTAAAATTAATAAAAGTTAAATAAAGCTTGTGTTGCCTCCGAAACGTCGTGATTTTTATTTTATTTTTATTTAACTTTTATTAATTTAATTTTTTTACCTACGTGACTTTACCGAAAAAACCTAAGAATATGAATCCTTGCAGTCACGAAAGCTTCAAATCTAGAATTAAGCTTGAAATGTTTGCAATGAACCAATGTTAGGTTCATGCAGCATTCATGACATCATCATAATCAGACATGATCAACCCACTGATGGGTGAAGGCCTCTCCAAGCCACTGCTATCTCTCTCCCATTCCTGCTATGCAACAAATCATCTGGCACCTGCACACGAGCCGATTTAATCGCTCCATCTCTTGCATCTGACGTATTTTCGAGCGCCCTCCCTCTCTCTCCCTGCTGCCGCCACTGAGTCGTTCGCTTCGACCGATCGTGACGAGTAGTGGTCCAGGCCCACCTATTTTTTCTTGACAATAAAATTGATAAATAGCTCGTGCATATTCTCTAATCCGCGTGTGTCCCCCTTCCCCCTTCTACCTGGTGCTCATGTAATCGTGATACAAGATGTGGGGGGACCACCACAATTCTGCGGATGTTCTCAAAGCGTTTTGCCTGCCTTTTGACGAGGATCTCAATGCGGTGCTCACCCCCCTTTAAACAGCGCTAACAACCCAGTGATGGATATTCCACATGACTATGGCGGGGGTGAGTCTATCCAGAGTATAACCACTGTTGACTTCTCCACAAAGTGATGATCGTTTTATCGGCTATGGAGGGATGATGGGCTGAGTCTACCCCGAATCGGAGATTAAACTCACAACCCCTCACTCAACTGCCGAGCCATCTGACCATTTGAGATATGTACCGCTTATCTCAGATGAACATGATCCATTGTAATTTATATGACAACATTAACCCCCCTCTGATCTTCGTACCTGATAGGCTCACAGTGATGACATCACCTCTACTCCTCTATTTAAGATCGCCTGATGAAGCTCGTTGTTGTAATCATCAGCGAAACGTCGTAAATGTTGTGGGTTTACTCTCCAACACACCGGTGTGCTGAACTCTGTTTGCATGACAATCCTCACTAGTTGGCTGTGTTTGGTGGTGGCGGGTTTAACGACGCATTTATAAATTTTGATTTAAAGCTTTCGTGACTGCAGGGATTCATTTTCCTGGTTCTTTCGGTAAAGTCACGTACAAGGGAAACACATTTTTTAAATATTTTCATTATTTTATTGTTTCCCTTCTACGTGACTTTCCCGAAAGAACCAAAAATATGACACATTTATATTCACGCAATCTAACCCCCCCCCCCAAAAAAAAATCTTTATCAGTTATTCGACTTCTCACGAATTACTGATGAACTGTTTCTACACGTGCGACTGCCGACTCGTACCACTAATGACACGTCTTAATTCCTACTCTTCTGTCAACAAACATGAACCTCTCGACACAAAGTACATTATTGGCTGGAGTTAAAGTGTCACGTGTCCTGGCTCCTCTGTCACCATCACGCATATGCGGAGATTATGATTGAAACCATTCCACCCATCTGTTCGCTCCGCCATGAGATTCGTAAAGTTGTCAGCAGAAAGTGCATCTTCATTCTTCTTGAAACCCCACTGGCGTGTTTCACTCTCCCGTGTGTTTGCACTCTTGCTGCTGCTGCTCTTCTAATGTGTCGCTGCACAAGGGCGCTGTCACATTTGATCACGGCATGCATCTGGAATCTAGCGGCAAACACGGAAAACATATATTGCACAAGTGTACCCCATTAAGTACGCCATTTTTGTTACGGAAAACACACGGACATAGGTTGCAGCACATTATAAAGAGTACCTATACTGACTGAAATCTCATCATACAAAAATGACGAAATAATCTATACAAGATGAGATGACTTTGTTCAAATTGCGCATATGTGTGTACTTGTAAATATCCCATTCACATGTTTTTTTAACTGTTATTTGTATTTTATATTCTATTTCGATTAGATTTGGGAACGGGTTGTGGATCTTAAGAACTGCACTGCTGGATAAAAAAAGTACATTATGAAAATGTTCGCACAGCAATGTGGCAATGTTTTCAAATTCCCAACACTGTGGGCTGGTCTCACAGTGAAGCAAATCGTAAATACATCTGCAGCCAAAGTATGACAGCATATCAATTTCTTGGGTAAATGACAAATGAGCCACGTTAAAGGAATGATCGTGAAGGAAAAAAAAATCCAATATTGTTTTTCCATTCCATAAAAGAATAAAGAAACCCACAGACAATATATAACAAACCTGCAATGTTGTTCTGGAAATTCATTGCATTATTAATACCACTGACGTCATGGGCACATTCATAAATCAATTTCGTGAAAACGATGAGAGTGGGGCGCATTGTATTTTCATACACATCGTCACATCACGCCAATAACTTATGCACTCGTTATTGCACTGCTCTGTAAACCCGACGGCATGTCTTACTCCTGGATATGGCTCACATCAACCCACAATGACCAGCGTGGTGAAGATTGACATGGTCGCCCTCGTGTACCAGTGAATTGATTCCAAAGAACACAGGATGGATTAAAACTTGCAAGAATATAAACATAATGTCTGTTCTAGCATAATTATCGCACAGTACAAGCAATGGCAAGCATATTCACAGTCTGCACTTCTCATTTCACAGACCGATGCATTCATGCTTCTCATGAAAATAAAACCACAGTGATTTGCTGCAAAATACTACCCTTAAAATAATATTGTCAACCCAGATTATTTAAACGCATTAATTAAGATTACATTTTACTAGATCAACAAGAAATACCTCCAGAATAAATGAAAATATATATTACAGTGTAGTCTCTATAGGGCCTGGTTATACACATTATATAAACACACATTATACATGAATACGTTATTAAAGGTCAAATAAGAAAATACATAAGTGCCACATTGGTGCTATTACTGAGTGACGTTCCATTGTGTCATGAATGGGGTATTTTTTCTCTCTCTCTCTTCTCCTTTGGCACATTTTCCTGGCACTCCAGGCCCATTCTTCTTTCGGAGCCTTTAATTACCTTTTCAGCTGCTGCGGAATGGGTAAATACATTAGGTAATGTAATGGAAAAATACTGCCTTTATTCATTCGAAGCATGCTAATAACATTTGCTCCTCGGCCAGTTCAGGATGAATGACACCCACGCTCCACTGAAGGCGGTCGGTCGGTGCACTGCTATCTGTGGAAACAGCTCGGGTGCAGTCAGCGTCGCGGCCAAGTTTCTCCCCGGCTGTCGCGTTCGATCCGACCGCAGCAAAGTGGCCCCGAGTGGCTCAGAGTGTCTGAAACGCCGAGCCAACGCTGCTGACAGCCCTGGGTTCTAATCCTAGATTTTAGCCACCCGTTATTAAAGTGGGTTCTCACCCGTAGCAAGATAATGGTCTCGACCCAGTTGCTACTGACTCTACATTTAAATATGTATATCGTAAGACATTTGGTTATGCAGTTACATTTGGCAAAATTCCAACTTTGGGACGAGAGAGAATACGGTTTGGTGACTGTGATTCGACGAACACAGTCTCATAGCAGAGTGTACGGGAACGTGCAACCGATGCTTGTTGTGCAAAGGATGGACATTACACTTGGAAGGATTATTTGGGAGAAGCCCTACAAAAAATCTATCACACAACCATTCTCGAGTACATAGGGCATGCTCTTCTCTGATATTTCAAGTTGGATTCCTCATCTCAGAATGTGATGCTGATAGTGCAATTAGAATAAATTTGGGGGGGGGGGGTGAAAGGTCAAAAAATATCTAAAAGGAGCCCTTGGAGGACCCTGAGATGTCCTCGCTGTCTGAACAGCAACATTATCTTTCGATTTAAAGCTTTCGTTACTGCAGGGATTCATCTTCTTGGTTCTTTCGGTAAAGTCACGTAGAAGGGAAATCATAAAATAATAAAAATAAAACGTAATAAAATAATTCTCACGACGTTTCGGCCACAACGCAAGCAGCCGTCCTCAGGTGAAGACCAGGTCTGTCGGGAAGATAGCATCTGAATGAGACACGTCTGAATGAGACGCTGTCTTCTCGACAGACCTGTTCTTCACCTGAGGACGGCTGCTTGCGTTGTGGCCGAAACGTTGTGAGAATTATTTTATTATGTTTTATTTTTATTATTTTATTATTTCCCTTCTACGTGACTTTACCGAAAGAACCAAGAAGAAGAGCAACATAATCATCCGGCGAAATGCACGTGCTGGAATATAATTGGCAGATGGGCGATCTCTCACACCATGACTGTATCAATTATTTTTTATTTAGGTCACTTTGTTAAACTATCAAACTTTAAACGCAATGGGTCAAACAACTTCGTAATTTTTGTGGAACATTCGCACATTGTTTTAATGTATATTTAATTTGAGCACATTGATGTTAATGAATTAGAGTAACTATACACTGCTATGGGGAAAATGAGAGCAAACATATATACTATAATTGATTAGTATTCGTATTGTTTCTTAAGCTCACAATACAAAGACTAAAACTACTATGCAAGAATCAATATTTTTGAAATCATATATATTGCATATAATGGGTTCAAGTCACCCCTACAGCCACTACATATGCCACCACTCACCGCAATGTTCAATAAAGGGTTTATTCTTGTGGACCAAATCATGACCAGGCATCTTGTATCGTTCTAGATTTGAAGCTTTCGTGACTGCAAGGATTCATACTCTTAGCTTCTTTCGGTAAAGTCACGTAGGTAAAAATAATAAAAGAAAATAATAATAATAAATGAAAATAACTAAATTAAATCACGACGTTTCGGAAGCAACACAAGCCTCCGTCATCAGGTGTAACTGCTCCAGTAAAATTACTGTAGCGTGTAAAGAGATTTTTATTTTATTATTATTATTTTACCTACGTGACTTTACCGAAAGAACCTAAGAGTATGAATCTTGTATCATACCGCCAGAGGGGTGGTGAATCATTCCACCACAGAATCTACACATACATGCACATGGTTTGGAGCCCTTTGTCAATCCACTTTGGACGGACGCTTCCCCACGCTTGATCATTCACCTGGGTGTTGTCACGCCATCTCTCACCTTGCTGGCCAGTCTGGGTTGGTGAAGTCGGAGGCCTGGATCAGCTCAGACGTCACTTGACACTCCGTTCCACGGGAACGGCGAGACTCACCCAGTCCCAGGATTTTTTCATGGGACGCTGATTGGGTGGGTGGGGGAGACATGGGATCTTCTTTAGCGCAGCCCCACAGCTATGGAACACCACGTAACCTCCTGACTGCAACCGGACATCCAAAACGCGCCGGGTGTCTCTCAATTCCCTTGGCCTCTGCAAGGCGCACCTATTAAGAATCGTCTTCCTAAAACATGTAAACATTTTCAATTAAAGCTGTCTCTTTCGTATTCTTAGGTTTTTTTCGGTAATACAGCTGTCGTGGCTGTGACGGTTCCACCTGAAGACGGAGGCTTGTGTTGCTTCCGAAACGTCGTGAATTTTTATTTTTATTTTTTTGTTTTTATTTTATTTTGTTTTATTTTACTTTTATTAATTTAAAATTTTTACCTACGTGACTTTACCGAAAGAACTAATAGTATGAATCCTTGCAGTCACGAAAGCTTCAAATCTAGAATTAAAGCTGTCTCTTTACTTGTCATTAATTTGACTTTTTTCAAATTTACTACTTACCTTTCTTATACGATTCGTTGTGCACGGTTGCACTTTATTTACTTTGCTCAGTCAGTGTTATTAGCCGCCGAGGTCGTGATGGGTTGTTTTTCTCATTCCTGTTGCTCTCTGACCCCTGTACCGTCCCCGTTCCGCTGTAATGTGCACCGATGGCTACTTAATTATCGAGGGCCATATTGGTACGCAAACTGAAGATTGATGGATCGACTTGCCGCGAATGTTGGCCACAGCCAGGACTCAAACTCCATTCACTGGGTTCAAACGCAGTTCTCTGCACCTTTGTGCCACCGCTGCACATGATATAAAAGAGAACTACAATGGTTTTATTTTTAAAACTGCGTAAACATTCTACTAAGCCCTGTATCTTTCCAGTGGAAGTATAATGTTAACATAAATGTAAGTACAATCACATAAAAATGATACAGCACTAAGGGGCAAGTTAACTTGCCCCTTTAAACATCTCATTCTGAGAACATTATCAACTTCCCTGGTACACATCAAAGGCCAAAGCACATTAGTCGCCCGAGATGTCTGTTTTGGAAAAGAAAAGCGATGCTAGAAGGCATGGTAATTGCTAAATTGTGAAAGCATAGCAAAACTTACCGAATGCGTAATAGTAGTTGCAGGCGACATGCATGAGCTCCTGTGTGCATGCAGAAATGTCTTAATAGCTGTACTCGGTGATGGACTTGTCTAAAGCAGATGGAAAATTGCTCTTGGAATGTGAACTGATGTCACTAAATGACGTACGATCTCCAACAAAAATGTATACATCACCTACTTAACAACAATAATAATAATTATTATATAATTTACAGCCTTTTGTTAATCCACTACCAGATGTTGGATGAATACCTCCCGATGACGTTTTGCTCATGGGAGTTGTTTGGCCAACGCCTGGCCACGCTGGCCAGCACGGGATGCTGAAGAGGAGGCCCAGGCCAGGTTAAGGTATCACTTGCTTTTTGTGCCCTAACCCCCGGTACCTCCAATTAGGATGGTCGGCTACGTACGGTGTGAAAGAAGTTCAACATACATAGAGTGTCTTCAGGTGAAGAATTCTGAGGACGGCTGCTTGCGTTGTGGCCGAAACGTCGTGAGAATTATTTTATTATGTTTTATGTTTTATTTTTATTATTTTATTATTTCCCTTCTACGTGACTTTACCGAAAGAACCAAGAATATGAATCCCTGCAGTCACGAAAGCTTTAAATCGAAATACATAGAGTGTACGTACATTTCTGCTGCTGCCGTTGCTAATGTTAGCCATGGTTGGAAATTGAGCTCGGCCAGTGTCTAGCACAACATTACACGTTCAACATCTGCGCAAGAGATGCGTTGAGAGATGCGCTCGACAAATGGGATGGTGACATGAAGAGCAGTCGAATGTGAATCGAATCTCAGTCAAAAATAAGCATCGCTATCTGAGAATGCTGGGAGCAGCGAGGTCAATATTTTAGATGGTCAAAGACAACAGCATTCCACTTGGACTGCTCCTCGTTGTGACAGAAAGAGAGCAGGACACACAACGATTACTGTAGCAAGTGAACCCATTGACGAAGGGAAGAGGTTTGACGAATCTAGGGTGTGAGATTAACACCAATAAAAGCTGCACGCGAGATAATAAGGGGACATTAGATGTAGCAAGGAATTACTTCACACATATGATATTCATCTGGAAGAACAAGGCATCAACAAACTAACTAAAATTTTGAATTATACGTACAATGGTCTTCCCGATTGCATTATATAAATATGAATTCTGTTCAATGGTGAAAGCAGATGAGGAAATGATGGAATCTGTCGACATGCCATGCCACGGGCGCATACTGCACATTCCCTGGGTGGCAAGGAGGAGGAATGAGTCAGTGCTGGAAGAATTGCTCAGAGAAAAGAGTCTCCTAAACGGAATAAAGCAACAGAGAGCTGAGCAAGTTGTGGCTATGTTATGAGAAGAGGCAGCGGTAGCCTAAAAGAGACAACCATGCCATTAAAATATGTGTAGAGAGGCCATAAATGAGACGGAAGAATTTAATCAAAGAAGAGAAATATATTTAGCAGCAGTAGAAAGAAGAAGAACGGAACGAGACCGGAGGAAACGGAGGGTCCTCTTCAGGGATGCCGCAAGTTTCCACAGGGGATCTGTTAAATGACAGCAGTAGAGGATATTACTACATATTTAAAATGTCTGTACAAAAGAAAAAGTATTTTCAAATATTTAATACCTGATGGGTTACATCTTAACGAGTCTGTTAGATTGCCAATAAGTGTTTTTTTTTGTCTCAATTCTTTGACGTTACGTTAGCAGCTATAAAAATACAGACGTGAGCTCATTCTGTTTGAAAAAAAAATGCCCTTGAGGTTTCCAGCCATGGTTATGCATCTTTTTTTTAACAATGGAAGTGCTGTTATCCTTCCTTCAATGCTATCTTGTTTCTTTGATCTGCTGAATTGTGATTATGAGAACTGGTGTGTCATTATGACCAGCAGCTGACTTGATGTTTTTTTTTTTTTCACCGTTTGAGTCGTTTGTTCCTTTGACGTCTCATGTGGCTGACGGGAGATTGTTAACAATGCGAAAGTACTTCTCAGTTGAACAGTGACTGACTGGACCTTTAACGTATGTGCTTTGCAGGAACATTGGCTCACAGATATCTTACCCCCGAAAGGTCAGCTCATGGTATTTGGAAATATATGACATGCAAGGTTAGAAAAGGTTTTTGGACTAAAGACCTTTATTATTATTTCCACGTTGTCTGCTTCACCCAGTAACCCCTGGTCTTAGCAGAGTCGATAGGTAAATGATTAATGCTGTAAAATATATTTTAGATCAGTACTATTAATTTTAAAACTAGGATTTATTTCATGGTGGCGAGATGTTAATTACCGCGACTGGTATACAGGAGGTCGTGGGTTCCATCCCGACCCTGATACATGTATATTTGGGGTTTGCAGTGATCTCTCCGTGGTCGCGTGGATTGCTATACAATTTTTCAGTTTTTTTCCATTTATTTGGAATAACCCTGTGAGCCATTCGGCTCTTGATTCGGGTGCAACCGCAACAAACAATAAAATATATATTTCCAGATGATAAACCACTTCGTTGAGCTATCATTTGTGGGCAGGTCGCTTCTGAAAAAAAGAGCTATGTAGCTCAGTGGGGCCTTACCTGTTAAAATAACAAAAAATAGTTTCTAGTATAAATAGGTGCAGCACGATTTCAAGCTTTCGTGACTGCAGGGATCCATCTTCTTGGTTCTTCCGGTAAAGTCACGTAGAATGGAAATAATAAAATAATAAAAATTAAACATAATAAAATAATTCTCACGACAGACTCTGTCTCCTCGACAGGCCTGTTCTCCACCTGAGGACGGCTGCTTGCGTTGTGGCCGAAACGTCGTAAGAATTATTTTATTATGTTTTATTTGTATTATTTTATTATTTCCATTCTACGTGACTTTACCGAAAGAACCAAGAAGGTGCAGCACAGTTGATCAGTAGGTTGCGTGTGGTGGGGTAGTGTGTGGGTACCTCCTGTCTCATCCAAGCCCCTCCATTGGAGACGTTCCAGAGCTCTATCCAATGGAGGCCCTCCCAGCAGCAGTGGCGTGAGCAAGACATTTCAGGGCTGCACCTTTGCCTTTTGATCTTTACTCAAGCCAATTCTTCAACACTTTTTTCTCATTGTGTAATGCTTCATTAGCTCATTATCCTTTAAAATATGACGTTTTTGGGGAATTGTGGCTCCTCCATCACCGGTGCACAATGCTTCGGTGGCACAGCCAAGGTCAACACAGAATTTGAGCAATGCTTAGAGCCAATGCTACCTTGCCACACTGTCAGCCTCCAGATCCCAAAAGATCTACACCATGACTCTTTCACGACGAATCAAGACAAATGAACGTGGCGCCTGTCTTTCTTTCGTGGTCTTTTGCAGCAATAGCCAGCGCATTGCATCTCCATATGCTTCTTACGTGCCCTTTGGAAAAGTCTATAATCACTCGGTTTAATTACAATGCTTGGACAGTCTATTTTTTTATTTTATTATTTCCCTACTACGTGACTTTACCGAAAGAACCAAGAAGATGAATCCCTGCAGTCACGAAAGCTTTAAATCGAAATTTCAGTCTAACTAAGTTTAACGTGTGAGTTTCACTCAGATACGATAGTAACCCATTACAGTACTTGTCATGGGTTACAAGTAGCCATGAAGATACAACTAGAGCAGAATATTCGAGTTTTGTTGAACTCAACTGGTAAAAAAAATAAAGAAATTCCGATCCAGGGTTATATCCCATATAGAAAATTCCATTCTGTATTGTAATTAATTATATACAGAAATAATATTGATATTGGAGGAAACCAGAATTCCTGAAAAAAAACTTCTCCATGCATATGAGGGGCCAATCCTCAAAGCTTTACAATGACAAGATTTCAGTACAGGGTATCGATGGACTACTATCACCTGTTCACCTCGCAACGCAAGTCTACAAAACTGGTTATTTGAAGTGCGAACCAGTGGTATGCATCAATTGAGACTCCATTTGATGTTCCCAAAGAAATATTTAGGACAGTCACATGATTAACTTAAAAAGAAAACCATTTGTTGTTTGCTGTTAATTAAAACATCAAGGTAAATTTCAAACTTTTTATAGCTTCCAAGATCTAACGAGATCGGGCACATTTAGAGTGATTATTTTTTAAAATAATAATAATGTTCAAACTATTTTGAGCAAATGTATGCATTTATAAGGTTCATCTTCCTGCTGCAACAGCTGCAAACAGAAACGAGCGGTTGCTCATGAGAAGCATCATCAGCAATCCTCTCCTATCCTATAACGACAGACATGTAGGTGTAAATGACAAACATCCTCGCTCAAATGCACAACCCTAAACACCTACGAGCATTCCAGATGAGCCTCAACATTTCGAAGGAATTGCGGTGTCCACATTAGCAATGCAATTTCATGGATCGTTTTCCTGAAATAACTGAACACATCTGTGCGGTGAATTTTCAACCACAAGTGCGATAATATCTACGCCACCGACGCTTCTCAAATTCACTCGAAACTCTTTCAACGTTATAGAAGTGGCACAAAATACGTGAACGATGACAATGGCACCTCTTTATTAGAATAAAAAAACTTGCCAGTCAGTCATACAGAAACAAATATATTCAGCACTCCCGGATTACATCATAAGTCAAGGATTTCACAACTGAGGTCACAGCAGAGTTTTAATATTACTTCACCGTGTGAGTCTGTTAAGAATGAAGAAAAAAAACAATTCCTTTTCCATTCAATATTGAATGAATGTAAAGAATGGCTAAGATGCTGTGCTATGTATCAATTGAGACTTCTTTTGATGTTCCCAAATAAATAATTAAAACAGTCACATGATTAACTTAAACAGAAAAACACTTGTTGTTTGCTGTTAATTAAAACATCAAGGTAAACTTCAGTTAAATCAACGGCTGCTTGAAAAACTAGTGTGACTAAGTCGTATTGTACAATACACATACACATCGAGTATTCCATTTGTCTTCACATTATTGGTTGCCAAGTATCTACAGTCATACTGTGCAATGCACTTAGAAACAAAATCATTGTACCTAAGTGGATATATACACGTGTGTCTTGGTGTCACGATAGCGTAATATGGTGCAATCACGTGACCTTTAAACATGTCGCTTGACCTTTCTGTCTCGCGCATCGTGAGATACAGAGATGTTTTTACCACAGACGTATGCCAGAGCACATCTGATGCCGCGTATTTCACAGCAACCAGGCATCTTGCCAAGTGTTATGCCCATGTAAACAGCTACTGTACTCAGTGCTAAGAAGCGAGCACCATGTATCCGTAAACACATTATCAATGATGCAGATGATAAGGCACGTGAGTTTAATTGTCCCTGTCCTAACTTAATTTGGAACTTTCGTGACTGCAGGAATTATTCTTTGGTTCTTTCGGTAAAGTCACGTATAAAGATAAAATAATAAATTAAATTAAATACTAGTATACGATGTTTCGATTGCAACACAAGCAATCATCATCAGGTATAAATTAAATAGAAACACAAATCTAGTATACTTAGAAATGTAATGTAATACAACAGTGAGTCTGTTATGTTATGTTATTATGTTATCCGACTCTCTGTTGTATTACATTACATTTCTAAGTATACTAGATTTGTGTTTCTATTTAATTTATACCTGATGATGATTGCTTGTGTTGCAATCGAAACGTCGTATGCTAGTATTTAATTTAATTTATTATTTTATCTTTATACGTGACTTTACCGAAAGAACCAAAGAATATTGTCTCTGTCCTGTTTGGATTATTATACACATTTATTGTAAACAAATCTCAAAAGCAATAGAATGACTGGGACCGCAATGATTCAACTTGGACAGTGGTTCCAAACCTGTGGCCTGCAGACCAACGTTGGTCTGCAAGGCTATGGGAAGTGGGCCGTGCAAGTGTCGCAAGATATTACGATTTAACATACTTCAGCTTAAAAAATATTGAATTGCTGCATGGCGGTCTGCGAAAAAAAAAATTAATCGTTGACAAAGGGTCAGCAAGTACACAAAGTTTGGAAACCGCTGTGCACGATGGGATTTTTTTGGCAATTAATCACTGGTATTCTTCACCGGCAATAGTTGCTGCATCATTCTCTATTTTGTTTGGACGTAACTCCATCAACCTATTCCACTGCCATACCAAGTTGCCATATGTTGCTCACAGTAAGTGTGCTGCTGATGTAGATTGCTGCCAACGTTTGCCCTCCAAATTTCTCTCAGGCCTACCATAGCATGGTGGAATTTTAGCCACTGTTTTAAGATCTTAGAGTATTTTCAAAGCACAGAAACAAATTAATGTTTGGCTATCTCAGCAAAAATGAAAATTAGCAAAATCTTCAAAAACAATATCTTACGACAAGAGTTAAATTAATTTGAATAAAATTGCTAACAAACAACACGCTTGCGATTAAGCTGACAGTTTCCCTCCACCTGTGACTGCAGCCACCAGTGGATATAAGTTCACTTGGAGATCCCCCAGGGGACACCCTAAACCAGAATGATTCATAGGTCAGTGACATGGGAGACCATGGCACAGTTAACAAGGCAGCCTGCTCTTCATTGCAAACATCTTGTTGACCTTAGTGTAGATGCTAAATAGCAGTCTGTATGTATGTTGAACTTCTAAACACAAAAAAGCAGTTCAGTTTGCTGTCCTTCACCCGCTCCTCCGATTAGCATGGTTGGCTACGTACGATGCTAAAGACGTCTGCCTACTTAACACTGCTAATCAGTGTAATGCTCTATTTGAGATGTATACACCGCATGTATACATTTACTAGCTGTACTACCCGGCTTCGCCCGGGACTTGTATCCACCACGGCCGGCCGCCTTTGTCTCCCCAGTGGCGATGTTAATACGCCACACCAGTTACTCGTTTGAGGCTGAGTCGACCTATGGGAGGTTCAAATAATCTTGATCGGTGGTGGCCATGAGCGGGAATCTAACTCGGTTCGCCGGGTTGGTAGCGCAGCGTAGCGTTAACCACTACACCCACCGCTCCTCACACACACAGACGCACAGACACACACACAGACACACACACAGACACACGCAGAAACACACAGACAGACACAGACAGACACACAGACAGCACGCTAACCACTACACTACCGCTCCCCACACACCACACACACACACACACAGACACACACACAGAACACACACACAGACACACAGACAGACACACACACACAGACACACAGACAGCACGCTAACCACTACACTACCGCTCTCCACACACCACACACGCACACACACAGACACACACACAGACACACACACACACACAGATACACACACACAGACACACACAGGCAGCACGCTAAGCACTGCACTACCGTTCCTCCTACACACCACACACCACACACGCACACACACAGACACACACACACAGACACACACACAGACACACACACATAGACACAGGCAGCACGCTAAGCACTACACTACCGTTCCCCCTAGACAACACACGCGCGCGCGTCCATAGGTACACATACACGCGCTTGCTGCAGACACACACATACACGCACATACACACAAACACATACACACATGCATACACACAGACATACACATACATACAAACACACACATACATACACACAAACACAATACACACACACATACATACAGACACACACATACATACACACAAACACATACAGACACATACATACACACATACATACAGACACACAGACATACACATAAACACATACACACATAGTCATGACCCGGCTTTGCCCGGGACTTGTATCCACCACGCCCGGCCGCCTTTGTCTCCCCAGTGGCGATGTTAATACGCCACACCAGTTACTCGTTTTGAGGCTGAGTCCCTCCCTCGCCACTCTGCCTCCCTCGCCACTCTGTAGAGGACGTGAAATTTGTATGAATTTACCTCAGAGTGGCGTGTTGGGTGTCGAGGCCTAGCACCGTGCAGAGCCTCCCGCCTTGCCTGATTTTCCCACCCGGCGAACGCTGGGTACGGGTGCCGGTCCCCCCCCCCCCCCGCGCTATTAAAAATGGCGTCCACCCCGCGGAGAAAAGTTGCTACTCGTTGCCAGGGGCAACCGCCGTCCAATGAAAGCGGCGAAGGCGTGGCTAGCCGTTGCCAGGGGCAACCGCCGTCCAATGAAAGTGCAGTCCAGACACACACACACAGACACACAGACATGAACGATTTTATATATATAGATAGTGCAAGTGAGGCACATGCATATGTGTTGGTGTTCAGTAGTGAAAACATTTTTGTTTAATCACTAAAGCAGAGTTGGCTGTATTTCATTGTAAACACGAAAGTGCGTCATAGCACTAAATGACCCGGTATAACCTGACCGTTCTCTGGAATTAAAGAAAGGTAGAGAGCAAACTGCCATTCTATTTTCACAAAGAGACACCGGTCAATCTTTTTATTTTTCACGAGCTCGCGGGGCTTCCCACTGGAAAATTCTTAACATTTTTACTGTGGGCATTCTACTGCCAAGTCTATTAAATCTGGGATCATTCAGCCCAGTGTCTCTGATCATTGGGCGAGCTTGGAGCTTATATTGGACATCTATATTTCTTGCGAAGAAGGGGACATTCCAGGCAAATTATTGCACTACATTTTTAACAAATAATTTTAATATGGGTTCTTACTTAGTTCTCTATTTGCACCGACAAATGGTAAACTATTGGTGGAATATGTATTTCTTTATTTTAAAAACATGTACACTTTACGCTGTACATGGTTTACGTCCGTTTTATAGCACCACTCAGCCATAAAAGCGAACCGTTACCAGTGTAACAGCTGTAAAAAGCTTGCAATCTAATTGTAAAAAAGCAAACTGCGTATATCATATAGTGTAGTAGACTGTAAAACGACATTCTCCTGTTGAAAATAGACACATTCTCCTTTGATTAAAATGTGTAAGACAGCAGTAAGAATAACAGTTCAATTTATATATATTTTTAAAGTGTTGTGTATAATGCCTCATTACAATTGCAATCACTCTGTTGAATCGTATTTAACATGACATTGGGTTGGGTGGATCAGTAGCCTAGTGATTAGCACACTACACCACTATAGATCCAGAAACCCAAGTTTGATTCCTGGCTACGGTCAACAGTCGTGGCCAGCGAAACCTCAACCAGTCCTTCACTCGCTCACAATGGACCAATGTGGTGAAGTACGGACGAAACAACTCCCATGACCGACGTGCCATCGGTAGGCCTATCATCCAGTAGTGTTTAGATAAACGGCATGGAAATGTTAATTAATTTTCACAGGACAATGACATACAAGGCCAATGTGCACGTCTGAATAAAAGTTAACAGCAGCAAAGCTGGAGAAACAACAATGTTTCGAGAATATAATTGACGGTCATGTAAGACACTCATCTGCCACCCCCTACTGGAAAATAGAAAGACAGACAATGTGAAACTACAGAGAAAGCTGGATTAAGATAAATATGTAAAGTATGTGAAGATGATGGCGATGCACTTTTCCTTATCACGACAGCTCGTGAAGTAATATCAGGCAGTGTATTTATAATTTTCATCAGCCATAATCCACTGCTGGATGAAGCCCTCCCCGATAAATTGTCATCTCTTGTGGTGGCACGATGCAACAAGTCAACCGACACACGAGCCAATCTCATCACTCCATCTGGTGGTTGTCTTCCTGGGCATTTCCCATACAAGTTATTCTTGTCCACCAGCCACCATCCATTTCTATGATGTGCGCTACTCAAGCCCACGTACTTTTGTTAATAGTGAAAATTGTCTTTAACCTGCATATTTACTCTAATCCGTGTTCTCCTTTCCATCTCGAAGCGTAACCCCGAACATGCATTAGCTTCTATGCTTTGTGAGATTTTGAGTTTTTACTCCATCTTCATTCATGAGTCTGGTAATAATAACAGCATTATTTTGGAGTATGCCACGCACGTAGTTATTATTCACGCTGCTTAACTTCCCAGATTCGACAGATTGGGTACATTTTGGATGTTTAGACAATAGGCTACAAATACATACACAACTTACAAAACAGATTTTTTTTTACACCTTAGATTATCTTAATAGTAAAGTCGAGGAATACAGTACCAATCGTGTGACTAACTCTGTGTTTAATACTGTAATTTAAGATCTCAAAGTACAATATTTGGCCGAACCCAACAGGTAAAAAAATAGATTAAAGTGTGGTACACGTTGTGCCAATGTGAAGAGAGACGAGCCAAATGGTTTACAGTTGGGTCAGCATGAGCGAAATTAACACGTGGTGTTCACAGTGGTGTCTGTCATTTGTGGCGTCACAGCAATGGAGAAATGACATTTACTCTCTTGAATTTGGAGCTTTCGTGACTGCAGGAATTACTCGTTGGTTCTTTCGGTAAAGTCACGTATATAGATAAAATAATAAATTAAATAATAACATACGATGTTTCGATTGCAACACAAGCAATCGTCATCAGGTATAAAATTTTAACCAGAAAACGTATAGACAGACATATAATAAGACAGATAACACCAAGATACATAAGAGAGAGAGAGAGTAACACAGGCACAGAGAGGGAGATTGTCTCTGTAGCGAGGCCTCGCTATAGTTTTCTGGTTAAATTTTATACCTGATGACGGTTGCTTGTGTTGCAATCGAAACATCGTATGTTATTATTTAATTTATTATTTTATCTTTATACGTGACTTTACCGAAAGAACCCACGGGTACATTTACTCTCCTAGACTTTTTGCCAGTAACATTGGTACAGATGGGTGGTAAAAAAAGTCAACACAATGTCACATCATTTTTACCGCACGATTCGGCGGTATCCGTCCAGTGCTCGCTGAGCTTGCATTGGCTTACAGTCGCCGAACGAACTCATTACGCACAAAGTTCTTGCCACAAATCAGCCACGATACCTCGCTAAACCATCAAGACAATTCCGGTCATCCTCGCAGCGACTTTTGGCGAACCATCGCACAAAGACGGTGACTGCATCGCGCGCTTTCAGACGCGCTTCTGTGACCGTCTGGAACGCTCTTCCTTTCGAAGCCACTGGAGCAATGCGCTTTTAAATCTGGATTGAAAACTCATTTCTGTAGAACAGTTTTGTGTGTGTTTAGTTTGTTGTCCTGTCCGTCCGCATCCTTCGATTAGCACGGTTGGCAACGTACGGTGCAAAATAAGTTCTACATACATACTGCAATGAGTATTACGTGTGTCTTGTGATTTGTATTGTCCCTGCAGAGTGCAATACAAGCCACGTGGTGGCAGAGTGAGATAGACGGAAGCGCGCAGAAGAGGCCAAGGTCTGAGTGTATGTACACAGAGTTCCCAACTGTTCTTTGACTTGAATAGAGGAAACCAGATGCATCCTCAATTGGAATATCTTGAGTTCGCAGTCCACCAGGAAACTGTAAATTATACAATTTCGGTGACAAGTAATGTCTCGACAAAAACTGAACAATACAGACGCACAATGAATGGATGACCGCCCTCAGCACGCTGAATACTCTTTAAATGAGACTCGTATATTTAGCCCACCAAGTGGTGCCCTTTCTATTCAGCATCAGTGACCTATTCAAAAGGTAAAGTGGCAAAGGTTTAATCAAATGATGACATTATGTCTGGGTTTGTAAGCCCCTTTACCAAGAAAGGTGAACAAGACATGCGAGGTCAATGATAGATAATGAAGACCTGCCGAGACACCAATTACTGCAAGAGGCATTCATCAAGCAGTGGATAGAACAAGGCTAATGATAATTTTAATAAAGTGATCAAACAAATTATATTCAATTACCGTCTTCCTATGATGCTGCCATTGTGCAATGATTAGCACTGGACTCGCAAACCACCAGTCGATGGACAGGGCGAGTGTGGTGGGGTAAAGTGTGGGTACCTCTTCCAAGACATGTGACCAGGGTGAAAGAGTAGGCCAAATATCCCCCGAATGAGGTTATCTTGCGGAGGCAATGGCATTGGCAGTGCAATAAGCAAGTCATCACAAGGCTGCACCTTTATCTTTGTTTTACTATATTCATGTATTCACGAAGTCGGCCTTGGAAAATAGCTGGATAGCGCAATGAAACGGCTCCAGTCGGGTAACAAACTTCGGGCAATGAACCTCGGAAATGTTCCAACAGAATGTTCAGTTTTGAGTTTTAGAGCTGGGCAGTTTAACTACCCAGTCAAGTTTTGATTTAAAGCTTTCGTGACTGCAGTGATTCATCTTCTTGGTTCTTTCGGTAAAGTCACGTAGAAGGGAAGTAATAAAATTATAAAAATAAAACATAATAAAATAATTCTCACGACGTTTCAGCCACAACGCAAGCAGCCGTCCTCAGGTGAAAACCAGGTCTGTCGGGGAGATAGCGTCTGAATCTCTTTTCACCTGAGGACGGCTGCTTGCGTTGTGGCCGAAACGTCGTGAGAATTATTTTATTATGTTTTATTTTTATTATTTTATTACTTCCCTTCTACGTGACTTTACCGAAAGAACCTAATAAGATGAACTCCCCCATTGTTTAAACCACCATGCCAGGAGACAGAATCGAATTGGTGCCCTCTGGATCTTCAAGTCCGCTTTGATAACCTTTAATCCATAGCAGTATTAAATTAATGAATACGTTAAAAAGCCATCACCACCCCAAATGTGCTATATAACCACAGCGTATTCTTCCTTTAAATTAAATTCAGATATAAAGACTAGAATTACTCTTTGGTTCTTACAGTAAAGTCATGTAGAATTTTTTTTAAAATAATAATAAAATACGACGTATCGATTGCAACACGAGCAACCATAATCAGGTAAGAAAGAATGAGAAAACAAACATAGTAAAGTTAGAAATATAATGCAATACAACACAGAGAGTCGGCTAACACAACAGTCAACACCCTACCTGGTTGATTACGTTCTTCCAAAGATTGCTAAATTTGAGAGAGACAAAACACAGACACGGAGACACATAGACATACACACAATCAGATAGAGACACACACAGAGAGACACACAGAGAGAGAGAGAGACACACAACATAGACAAACAGAGAGACAAAGCTTCGAATCTAGTTTAAAGACTATAATTGTTTTCACTTATATTTCGTTGCTAACACACATGTTCGCTTGTCACTCCAAGCTGTTACCTGCTAAGTCAAACTTAAAAAAAGAAAAATCCCTGAGGCAACAAAGCAGGTACACGCCCACATACTTCTCAGCCTAGCCACACACACACACACAAAAAGACCCTCCAAACAATCAAAATATACATCTGCCTGCCATTGTAACAGGTGGCCGCTCATCAGCATGCCTCCCTCTGCCGAGGCATCCCAAGACGGGCTGCTCATTGTTGTGGCGTTGGTGTTCCCGGTGTCGTGCGTGACAGTGGCTGCCATGTGCCTCTACTGCGACCTCAGGAGATGGTTTACATCGTCCGGGGCAAATCTCGACCGAACGAGCAGCCCGGAGCAAAAGGGCAGCAGCAGCAGCAGCGGCAGCAGCATCAGAGTCATCCAGCCGGACCTGAAACTCAGTCGCAGCAGCAGCGCCGTGTACCTGAACAGACCCAGCAGAGAGGACTTTGAAAGGCGCTTCAGCATGCCTGCTGGAGACTCCTTGGCCCGGGTTAATGTGATGCAAACCAATACATCTTTGCTCCAGAGCCAGATGTGCTACTCATCTACTGACGGTAAGATAGTGGGGGTGGAGGGGGGGATTGTTATTTGCATATTTCATCCATGCAAATATTTTCAGAATGTTGATGTTGAATGGCCTTCATTCAAAGTGATGTTTCGGGAGTGTTTCGTGATGTCCCCCCCCCCTCCCGATGTTGTACTGAGCTACTTTATTAATTGACTATGGCAGATGCACATGGTGGGGGAGGAGGGGGGAGAGTAGCAGTGGCGCAGTTGTCCAGCCGTGTGCTGACACTTGTAACCAGAGTTCGATTCCTGGACACGACTAACATCAGTGGCGAGTGATCTGAAATGGTCCTGGGTGATTACCACGTTTCCATTCTTCGTGCAACCTGCACCGACCAGCGTGGTGAAGCATGGTCAAAACAAATCCAATGGCAATCATAAACAAGGGAAGCCCTTCATCCAGCAGTGGAATGACAAAGTATGTCAATGTGGCTTTCAAAACGTGCATTATCACAGGCGCACGCACACTCGCGAGAGCAATGCATTTTTAAGAGCAAGGGTCTGAAAAAAAAATATTAAACCACCTCGAATTTAAGTTTTGAACCTCTGTTAAGCAAGCCTATGGGTCGTGCTAAATACCTGTTTGTATTTGGTAATTGCACAAAATATGAGCTGCCGTGGAGTTACGGTGAGCAGACTGTGGACTTGCAATCCAGAGGGCGCCGGTTCCAATTCATCTCGAACGCGGCAGTTGAATCGATGGTCCGAGCATCTTCACCCGCCACCCCCCCTCCCCCATGCAGCATCAATGGGTACAACACATGTTGTATGTGGTTCAGCGAAGTGTGGGTATAACATACCTCTTCCAACACGCCAGGTCAACATGGAAGAGGAGATCAATTGCCATCTATAGAGTTTGCTGCAGTGGAAGCCCTTCTGCCGGACTTGGCATGAGCAAGCAAATTGCAGGGCCTCGCCTTCATTATTTTGCCATACTGAAATATGTATTTCATTTTGGTGGTGCCAAATTTGAACAGCAATGTACTGTAATATTACATTCCCTTCATGCTGCTCATACTGCAGTTGTTTTGTGATATATGGGTTGAATGGTCACCTGCTAATGGATTTTAGAAATGTGTAGAATACGACGGCAAATGCAGGACACACTTATACTGGTAGGAACCTCCTGGTTACACCAGCCCACAGGGGATTATTGTGTCCGTCCGTCGTGCATCCAAAAATGGGAGGGGTGAGGCTGGGTGGAGAGGGTTGAGTGGGGAGCTGGGTGGGGAGGGTGGGGAGGGGCTGGGTGGGGAGGGTGGAGAGGGGCTGGGTGGGGAGGGTGGGGCTGGGTGGGGGGTGGGAGGGGTTGGGCTGGGTGGGGAGGGGCTGGTCACCCCGTGGTGCCCTCATAAAACTCAACATTTAACCTACTCACACCGGCTTGTGCCCGCCCTCACAGTCGGCCATATTTGCGGAATACACCACGCCGCCGTTGACCCTGGCCATTGACCGAGCAACCCAACGTTCCTACCAGCTCCCTCCGCAGGAATGTGTTTTGAAATGCAAAAATGACAAGCACAGACACAATATGAAGTGTAAAACTGGATGTGTGACATTCCAGAAAAAAAGGTCAGGTGCAGTTTTGGGCAATGCGAGTGCTCAATCCCTGTACAACCCCGAGGGTGTGTCCCTCCTTGTCATACAACATCCCCAAAGTAGAAGTGCAACAGCAGCTCTGACAAAAAATTACAGCGTATAAATACCAGTCTCTCACGTTCATTACGACCTTCAGGGCACGACGGGACATCTTGTGATGTTATAATTACGATGTGCTGCACCATTTAAAGCACCATGCTGACCAAGGCAGATTCCGCCCTGAGTTTAAAAACACGTGCAAGATGGTAATGTTCTTCTTCCAAAGTAAATTGTCAAGATTCAGCTCCCCCTTTGATCTTGCTATGGTTCAGGGTTGTTGCTTTGATTGGTCACAACCCATCACTACATACAGGTTTTTTTTTTTACTCAAATTCTTCCCGTGGAGTGAAATCTGCAATCAAAATATTCCCATGGGGCACTCCTCATACTAATGGATGCCCTTGGCAACAAGATTTTCTATCTCAAGGGATTTTCCAGGTGAACGTTTTTTTTTATATAAAAAAGGCACAACATGATTGCCAACGAGCATTGCCACGCGAGCTGCAACTATTAGCTGATGAAATAATTTGGTAATATTGATTTACTGTCTTGTTTATTAAAGTTGATGTGACTCAAAAAATGATTGCATAATTTCTGCACATGGGGATAAAAACATGCATTTAGGTTTGAAGGGACTTATGACATCACCATCTTCATCGTTATCACATTGGGCTTGCTCTGTGGTGAGATTCGAGGGCGGACAATCATTTTAGAATGGCTACTGATTAATCGACGTATAAATCAGTTCAAATTTGATCACTTTATGAGATAATAAGTTTCAGAAATATTTTTTCAGCACTGATCAGCACGTTGCGTGACGTGACACCATTGCAAATGTGTACAAAGTTCACATCCTTGCCACGTGCATCCACCCAGGTGCCTCAGCGGTAGAACGGCTCGCACTCGAAAGGTTGCATCCTGATTGGGAGTTGACTCGGCCCATCATCTCTCTGGGGTTGATTAAAATGAGTACCACCTTGTGGAAGTCCATTAATGGTTGCCCAATGGAGAGACTTAGTCCCACCATAGGAATGTGGAATTTCCACCACTGGGCTCAAGGCTGTAAACAGGAAATGAGCACTGTCTCAATGCTCAATCGCATTGAATATGTAATTTTAAGAAACATTTCGACCAATTAAAATTTTTACTTCGAGTAAATGCAATACATTTTGTTTCCCATTCCAGTGGAAATAATTTGGTCATTCCCGAAATGCTTTGTTGCGTTTGTGCCACTGATCGTGATCGTCTCAACAGGTTCTCAGTATGGATCTACCAACCTGTTAATCAACTCGCGCCGCCCATCGATAAACAGCCCACTGGATCCAAGCCAATTCAACGTAGACATTTACAAACAAGCTCAAGTACGTGCACATACAATAACAATGTGTTCAGTTTACTTATTGGGCATGTGTGCTCAATTATGTATATATATTTTAACAAATACCTTGATTGGTCTTTTTTGTGAGTTTGATGCCGAGCCACGGTTGGCATCAGGGGCAAACGATATCCCAACCAGTTATTGCCCCTCCACTCCTCCGCTTCTCAAACCTGCACTGATCAATGTGGTGAAGTATAGTCAAATAACCTTTACTACCGACATAGCATGGGGAGGAATCCATCCAGCAGTGGATTGACTAAGGGCTGTGCTGTTTATTTTTAGTTATTTTATTACAATCTTGATTTTCAAACTAAAATATAAAGACATCTTTACACAATTATATGAATGTTTTAAATTCTCCACATTTCCAGAGTATTAAATAACCAAATTCCAATGTAGAACTGTACAACTCTGTATCGTATACATTATTGCATATTCAAATAATCAGCCACGTTGAATATTTCGCATATATGTTCCTGACTTTATTGGGGTAATATATTACATAAAATATAAAGTCTATATAGTATACAAGAGCTATTTAAAAAAAAAAGCTTGCTTGGAACAGCATTTGCTCATTTGCACGTCTTACGCTTCTGCCTTCACAATCAGCCCCTGGAAAATGTTGAAGAATCTTGTCCGCTGGGCTCTATCAACTTCTGCCTTTTATATGAGGAGGAGCTGAACATCCTGACCGTTCAGATCATCCAAGTGCGGGATCTGCCAGCCAAAGAATTCGGGAAGCCAGCCTCCTTCATCTGCACCGTGTCGCTGCTGCCAGACGTTTCGTCGCTGCAGAGCCAAGTCCATCACAACACTCCGAATCCCATCTTCATGGAGAGCTTCCTCTTCTCGGTGCCCCTGCTGGAGCTGCATCGGAGGACCGTGCTCGTCAAGCTGTTCGAAGTCGACAGATTCTCCAAGAAAAATATCGTCGGCAAAATCGAGCAGCCCTTGCGAGACCTCCTGCTGGACATGAAGGCTCCCCAGCACTTCCTCAAGAAGATAAAGTTGTGCCGGAACGAGGTATGCTCACGCTGAGAAGTCCGGTGTGATCGCTTTGGTTGAGCGCTCACTTTTATTTTCATTTCGTGCACTCAGTTTTCATACTGTGGTACACGTTATTCATACGGTGCACAGATGTTTTTATTGAAAGAAAAAAAAAACACTTAGACGCATTATGGAAGAGAGTTGTGGTGTTTTTTGCAGGTTAAATAATTAAAGTGACTGCCAAGGAAGCAAACAAGTCTCAGCTGAATGAACCTTGAACCGTAAATATAGCTGAGCAATGGCAGCAAGGTTGCGACATCCTCTGAGCCCGCGATGTCTTACAGACACTCGATATGGATTTCTGTAGATATCGTGTACAGGGTTTCGTTTATTGCCATTCAACTTGAGCAAAAGGTTACACACCTTTATGGGGACACAATGGAACGCTAATCAGCCATTTCCTTTTAGGGAAGGCTCTAGTTCATGTTGTTTGGGTGTGGTTGGTCACATCAGATAAATATTTTGGTGGATACGCCCAAAGGCTGACAACACTTTTATTATTTTAACACATTGAAACATGTATTGTTTCTAACATGGTAATGTTCACACAAAAGGAAAACTAAAGTCTCAACCTGACTTGAACACATTTATTCGTCACCTTTTGACTGCCACCGCTGTATAAAGTTCTACATTCCAGTGCAAATTCACAGTTTAAATGGACCTTCTGTGTTCTAAATGTTGGCGAACATGTTGAACATGACTCCACGGCCGGCTGGTTTTACCCTGAAATGTTTTGAATACAGTCATTCAAATGTACAATACGCCAGGGCCGTGTTAGCTTCTACATTGTCATCTATTTGACCAGTCGGCACATTCGACCTACCATTGTAGGCAAAAGGTCATCAGTGCAGTTTATCAGAATGTGTGAACCACATTTCCTAGAGCTGGCCTTTGTGGACAATTCACAAGCTGGTAGTCTGTCAATGCAAAGCTCCATATACAACACAATATGATAATGAATTTAACATTTGTGTTTTGCATTGTAATGTATCTTTAAGGAACATGGTGAGTTGTCAATATCGCTGGGTTACCTTCCAAAGGCTGAAAAGCTTACGATCACTGTGTTACAAGCACGGAACATCAACGCAATTCAAAATGGATCCCAAGGTAGGTTTTCAGTTTTGAGAGTGGCATACACATGGCCATCATCTTTATCAATCAAATGCAAAGTGCTCTTTTTCAATTATATAGCGAAGAGTTATTCCCTCTGGCTCAGCCGTTAGGAAGATCCCTTCTGAAATACTGTACCGTAATTGATTAGTTGACTAATTGACGAAGAATTACAATGGGAATACTTTTTGAGGTTAACTCCATGGGTCCCATTACAATCGATGGCCGCTCTTACATCCTGCCACCCAAAGGCAGCAAACCCCCTGTAAGCCAAACCTAGCGTGGTTATGCCAATTATTTCAACAAGTGCCATCCATGAACTCTCATCCATTGTCACACTTACGAACAGAGGTGAGACTATTTTCCAACGATTTAAGTGTTGTCCGATTTGCCAAGCAAACAAATACCCAGTAGAGTGCAGTACTTGATTACATAAATGGGATATCCCAGCTCTATTACACAGTGCTATAGTGTACCGGATGGTTTTGCGTTTGGTAATTCCACAAATCAGTCTAAGACTGACATAATTGCTGATCATCATTGCAGAGAGCTGAGGCCTGGTTTAACCTGCCTAGTTACTATGGGCCATGTGGCAAACACATTAACAACAAGAATGGTCTTAAGTTATAATTTGAAGTTATTGTATTTGTGTTTTTTTCTCTCTCTCAGGACTATTTGTAAAGCTGACCGTTTCTGTGGAAAATGAAAAATATATCAAAACCAAAAAAATCATGCAAAAACAAAGAGATGGTGGCATCGAGTTTAATGAATCTGTGGCTTTCAGCTATTCATCTGAACAGCTGGCAAAGACACACCTGTTATTCCAGGTTATCCAGACCAGCAGTGGAAAACAGAAGGTCGAAGTTGGGCGCATCTTGTTTGGCAAGGACAGCTCTGAAAAAATACTGGCTCGGTGGAAGGTCATCATGTCTGGACAGCCTGCCCGGGCCATCTGGTACAAATTAAGCGCACCTGAAGTGGACCCCGGATCTCCATAACTGTCAATTGACAATATCACATCACAAAAATACAGTGACACTTTTCTTTGAGACTCCTGGAGAATGTTTCAAATGAACTGTAAATCTCGAAAGGTTTACAGGAGTTAAGTACCAATGACTGATGAATGTGGGATGAACTTGTTTGCTTTTTCAGTCAGGTTAATATTTACAAGCTACAAAGGCGGTTGGTTGGGTGACTCGTGGGTGGATTATACTGTGCCTGGGTATTGGAGCTAACGACCCCTTAAGAGCCTGAGCTCCTGCGTGGACATGTTAAGAGTGAATTTTGTTTGCTCAGCCCACAGAGATTGCCTAAGAATGACAAGATTGATGGCACCAGCTCAATTACATTGCACTGAAGAAAACCCGAATAAAAAGCTGTCGCTCCTGTTCTTGATTTAATTACTGTACATAATATGGTGTATATATTAGAGGGCACTTAATTGACTAAAATTCGAGGGTGTTCACGTTTGGCACAATGTTTGTGAAAAGCATGTCTGAACTATGGATTGCATTGGGAGCAGATTTTAAAACTGCAAGGGTACATTTCAACAACAAAAACAAATGCCAGTCATTCAGCTGTCGTACAGAAATCACCCAACTGGTCAGAATAAAAGAAGGCAATTTAAAATGCAAAACAGTAATTCTATATTGAAATAATCCAGTGTTTGATATTCAATATAACGCTAAAGTGCAGTATTTTGTTGTTGTTTTCTATACAGTCGTTACTTTAAGTCTTTGCATAGCAAATAGTGTTGCTTTCAGTAATCATGAATAAAAACTTTACAGCAAACCATTGATGTCGTTGATTGGCATTTTACCACTCTATTTACGTTTCAAATTGAAGTTTCGCTTGTTTAATTTTTATTATGTTACGTGGTAAGACGCTGCGGTGAGGTTCTGCAAGAACTGGCCCTGCAGCAACTGCAAGATATATAACAAGATGCAGCATGCAAGATGCAGCCTCAAGGCACACCTCATAAATTGTGCACAGATCAATGTGTTTCACGTTTCATTTGTGAACAAGTTTGACCATCATCATTAATGTAGAACACGGAGCTGTTGCTGTTGCTGTCGGACTGCAGAATCAAATCGAAGAGAAAATCTGCCAAACTGATGTTTTAAATGCACTTTGGTCATGTACGGAAATATTGTGGTGTGATTTGTAGTTTACTTGAAAAAAAAAGAATCGGTTAATGGGACATGCCAAACATTATACATCTTCTGTACAGAGGCCAGTTTTGTTGGTTTGGCCAGTGGCGGCTCCTGCAAAATCTCTCAGGGGGGGCAAATGTCTGGATGATTGATAAGGATAAGGTCCACCCATGCAATGGATAAATTAACAGCTTAAGCATGTAAAGGCAACTTCAATTCTTTAATATTAATGAAAAATAAAGTGACTCTTACAATACATCTTGTTTGTTTCTATACTCACTATTAAAACAAACCACTCAAGTTTATTTTATTAAAGATTCCACTAGGTGGCGATAAATTATATTGTTGGATGAAACGTGCTTACGTATGATGACGTTAGCACGTATGATGACGTAAGCACGTTAGTGCAAGCCCTCCCGGAAGCCATAGAGAATGCATTGGAGCGCCCGCCGTTCGAAAAAAAACATCTTTCAATGTAAGTCTATGGGGCCACTCGGGGCGATTCTCAGCCGGAGTGAAATCGCCCAAAAAGAGGCGGTACTCCACAGAACGTGACATGACGCTGATTGGACTATATCCAGAGGCACAGTGACGGCTAGCGTGACTCTGTGGTTCAATGACATTGGTGGTGCGTCGCCCAATCGCCCTAATGAAGAAACCGCCCCTGGGTTTGGCCATGGAAGATTTGATTTGTATCCATAACCTTTCTTGAGCATAATGTCCCAGTCATGTATTGTACCTTTTGACATGCACATTTTTGTGCCAACTTAGCTCATGCCGCCATAGCTTTGGCAAAAAAGGACCGCATTGAAATGAAAATTATAAGAATTGTGAAACACCAGATTTATGGCTGAAAAATCCAGGTTTGATTTAAGTGCAGTCGATTTTGGTTACATAGACCACAGCACGCACGAGTATTGCACAAAACACATAAATACCTAACCACATAGACACGAAATATTTACGGATTTTACGTACATATGTACACGTACAACACTTTGTCAATCCACTACTGGGGGAGGTTATCCTGGTGCCACGTGGGTGTTTTTGGTTATTCGACCGAAGTTCACCACAATGGTCATCGGTGAAGGTGGGGAGCATTGATGTTGGGGCATAGAAAGTAGAGCACAGTACAACAAAGTAGTTGTGCCGCACTGACCTCTAATGCACACACCGTAGCTCCACAGCAGCCAAAAACAACCGAACGTGCATGGTGGTCACCCATCCAAGCACTATTCAGGCTCAAACCTGTTAATCTCTGGAGCTTATTTTGTAATAAAAATGTTTCACATGGCAGTTACAGTGATATAGTTTAGAGATGCTTGTCTTCACGGGTCGGCGAATAAACCTTGAGCCAATATAATTGCATAGGGTTCTCATCCAAACCATGGAATTAAAGACCACGCCTGAAACATTTAGCAATATCGAGAATGAATAATTAATGACAACACAGACACAAATCTACTAGCATGAGAATGACTGTAATTCTTGCCCTGTTTCTGTGGTGTGGGACTGTAATTTTATTTTGAAGGAAAAAAAATGAATGACATTCCATGCTTAAAACATTTTATTCCTATAATGGAAGGAAATACAAACACACGGAGCACTTAGAGTCTTAGATACTAAAAGGTGCAAACATATTTTTGTTTGTTTTCAGAGAGGGGTCGTTGAGGAAATGGCATCATTTTAATGAGAGCAGGCAGGTGTTTCCTGCAATAAAATTGTGCCTCTGTGTGTCTGTCACACGCACATACCTTAAATGTGCGCTAATCACACAAACAGCCTTGAACCATATGTTCTGAACTTAAAGTGTCATCAGTACGGTGTGTCTGCAAATCTCAGCAACAAAAACATTTCCGTCACTACATCCTGTTTACGTGATGGAAATTAACCGATTTGTTTGAACGATATGGATACAATCTTAATGTAAAAATTTGATTGACTGGACTTATTTCTCAAAATGTTGCAAGTTATAACCCACTAGACCAATGGTTCTTAAACTGGGGTGCACGCACCCACTGGGGGTACGATGTGCCCTTTCTGGGGGTACGAGACATGGCCAGATTTTTTTAGAAGGTAAATCATCGAAAACGCTAATTCTGCACTGGCACGTAAGTACAACTACCTTGTTTAATCAAACCCTATGTATTCATTAACATTACACTTTTTTACGATTGAGAACCACAGGGATGCAGGCTGCAATAAAGGTGAAGAACCACTGAACTAGAGGGAATGATGGTTCCATTTGAGTAATCCCCCCCCCCCCCCATTTTTATCGTAAATGTGCTATTGGCGTTACATCATGAGATGCAGTGTAATTCGGATCTCTTACAGAGCAGTGTCACCCCTTCGTATCTGAGAACGGCCAGTGGAAGTGGATATTACACAGATACCTACAAGATCCCTGAACTTGACCTATGGTCCACAAACAATACATTTTCCCAATTGCGTGACATTCAGATCGATATTGTAATTTTCAGGGCTATAATTTAGCCATATAAAGTGCAGAACCACATTTAAATGATTGTTTTTTATGCAATCATTGGTGACTGGTCTGAGACCATCAGCTTAATATACTTGAGAACTCGGTGTAATCACAGGCAGCTGCTTGGATTTGAAGCCAAGATCTCAGTTGTCAGTGTTCAGCACTTTGGGCAGAGCCACCCAGCCACCTCCTGAGTTCAGTAGTTTATGGTTCGAGTCTATATATATTTTGGTTTATTACATCTACCAACAACATATGGTGCTGCCCTTCTGAACTCCTGGTCATTGTATTCTGCATTCAACAGGTTTTTGATGGAACAGTGTCACACATTTGATCGCACGTGACTGTAAGTGGCATTCCCGGATTATTAGAATTGATTATCATTGAAAGCTTCATTGCTATTTTATTTATTATGAAAAAAAAATAAAGTGCTGCGCATTGCAAAGAGGCCACCAGCTTCTTCGTAATGCAGATAGAAAAGGAAGTTTCAATGCATAAAAAATAGACAAATTTGGTTTTGCATCAGCACAGACTCGCAATGCAAAACAATACTTTGAGATAGACCCAAATGGCAGATATGCTCCAAATGGGTCTTGAAAATATCATAACCTCACAATCTGCGAAATTCACACGATGTAATTGCTCCTCTAATCGGTGGCACACCGCGTTGGAGAGATTGTTTTTCGCGGATTACTGGAACCTCCGCAGGGGTCGGCGGATTTACAAAGGCCTCGACCCATATCAGTGCGGATTCAGGAATTGTAGTTCTGCTGTACACAGTGCTCATTGGCAGAGTCAAGCAGCTGAGAAGGAAGATGCCAACGGTAAGAGCTAGGGACAGCTTATGTTCAAGTCTTTTTTACAGGTAGGAACAACAGGTTCCACACTGCCCACCAGGGATTATTTGTCTGTCTGTCGTGCATATTTGTCTGTCGTGCACGAATGCGCTGTCCAACCAAGTTCCTACCTGCCCACTCCAAAGGAACGTGTTTGTCAGTGTCCATATTTTCCTGGTCAGTGTCACAGAGGCGCTAACAAGCGCAGATTTCAAACGTTCCACTGAAAGCAAATTGCTGTTCCCACTTCGTTTATCAAACTCCTCTTCCAAAGGCACTGCCATCCTAGCTGGTCTCGTTTGGACTTTTCATTCAAACAATTTGAATTTTGCCCCAGGCACTGACACGTTCTTCTTTGACTTCCAGTTGTGATCATCCGACAATGATTTTCTCGTTAATTTAGCCAGCTTGTTTTACACGACTTTAACTTTAGCCCAACTTTACAGGTGCTTGCGATCAATCTCCTTAGTCATTCCCCTTGCATACTCATCGCTACGTCGGTCGTTATACCTGTCGACGCATACGGTGTATACCCCGTATTTTTGTACAGGGAAATTGAGTTTTCATGTCCATACGGCGTACAGATGTTTCAATACGGGCACAAACAAAAACATTTTGTCTATTTATTTGTTTCCCTTGTGATGGGACTTTGTAGGATGAACTTTGAGATTTATAAGGGCACGGGGTGACCAATAAGGTCTGAATTGTTCTGTAATAAGGTAAGGTACGTGATAAAGGCGTTGACAGGTATGTAGTGGTGAGTGTACTAGTGTTGAGTGTACTAGTGGTGAGTGTTTCTCCCTTTGGATGGGACTTTGTAGGGCTAACGTTGATATTTTTAAGGGGCACGGGGTGACCAATAAGGTCTGAATTTTTTGTAATAAGGTAAGTTACGTGATAAAGGCGTTGACAGGTATGTAGTGGTGAGTGTACTAGTGTTGAGTGTACTAGTGGTGAGTGTTTCTCCCTTTGGATGGGACTTTGTAGGATGAACGTTGAGATTTTTAAGGGCACGGCGTGACCGATAAGGTCTAAATGTGTCCATAATAAGGTAGGGCACTGATAAGGGGTTGACAGATGTGTGTCGTCAGCGCAACTGAGATGACTTCCACTTTTTCCATCTATATGTCATCGTTATGTTTCGTTTGTTGTCCAACCTCCAATTAGCACGGTTGGATTAGGGTTCAACATACAGGGTGAAAGTGGGGAGCATAGAAGTACTGCACAATAGTGGGTTTTCGTGCAGGGCACCCTGTGACTCACCCCCAAAATTCAAAATTTTGGTAAGTTAATCTTATATGACATTAAATAAGATAATGGCAAAATAACCATTGTTAACACTGTGCTATGAAGAAGGGCAATTGCCCGAAACGTGGAGTCGTTATATATATCGTTTTAAGGCCAGTGTTTGTTGACAAATGCGTTGAGTTGCAGTAATTAATATTGATAAAACACAGAGCCGGAACGATTTCTCGGCTTAAGCCCGGAACCTCAAATCGGAGCCGCGCGGTTCGCACCGAGCCCAGTGCAGCGCACGCGGCGTCCGGGTCGCGTTCCCGTCACGCAAAATAAAACACAAAATAACCTTCTGCGTTGCAGCGACAATCTAACTCGCGATTCGTCTTAGATAATTATCGGAACAACAACATTAATAGTACGAATACAACAATACGGTCATTCCCGTGACCATGTCGAGCTCGTAGATCTGTTGTTATACATTGAATCTCATAGACTGTGGTAGAGTGAGTGTGTTGAGTGTTGTGTGATTTAGTCAATTGCACGGCTAAAATAGAGTTTCCCGTGACGCTACGGAGTGTATCTTTAGTGTGTTTGGTACAATACCTGTGATTTAAGTTGCCACTGTTGAGTCGACCATCGTCTCGTGCTATTTAGAGAATTGTATGCGTCGTTGACACGGCGGTGAGGAGTTTGACCGCATGCACGAACGGCCCTTTTGAATGGATAATCACGTTAGTTTTAACAGCTGGTGAATGTAGTTGGGTTGTCGTGGTTTGATTTGTTTTAAATCGACCTCGTAAATATACGACTAGTCCTCAGACGACTATATGTGTGCGAGTTGGATTGTTAGATTTTTCTGCAGTTCATTTTGTGTCGGCATTACGATACGCAATACAAAAGGATTTGTTCACTCTTGACATTTGGGTATTGTCAATCAGTTACATTGCGTGCGATTTAACTCGATTAGATACAATTACCTGTAGTCGAGCAATTGATCTCATAAATTCATGTGTAGCCTTCATTGTGTTGTATTTATTAATTAGACGGGATTTGCGTTTTTCTTTTCGACGAGTCTTAAAGAGGACAATTGATTTAATTTCATGACATTAATCTTAGATTATCTATGAGGTACGTGATAAGTTCATTAAACTACATCCAAGTTATTGGTTTCAATTAGATTCTATGGTACATATAATTAATATAACTAAATTACTTGATACATGCCGAGTCTGGTGATTAGAATGTACAATATCGTTAACATTAGCAACGATACATGGTTATGATCTGTAACGTTGGAGATAAATAGATAAACGCCGATTAAAGTATGTATTTTTGTTAAGTGGTAGATTGTTCAGATTTCTTCACTAAATACAAATTAACGAAAGTAAGCAGGTTATACTGTATTTAGTAAATTACCATAGAGTACACCTGTAAAATACATTTGAGGTTATATCTATAATGATTACTTGGTTACGTGATCAACTATGAGGCATGATTAGATCAAATCTGTGCTAAACTAACTCAAAAGTACATTTACTTGAGTGAGCTCTCAACCACCTTTGAGCCAATTTGGACCGAGGTTTGTGTGCATTTAATAATTTTTCTAATTAAAAACAATGCCTTCCCAATGCACATCCGCTTTAATTTATGTTTATGGGCTCTCATCTGGATTAAGAACATAAAGTCCTCGACGTAATACACACTTTGCTGTTTTAACCTACACGATTTAATTAAATTGTGTAGCACGTGCTGCATAAGCATACACGTTTAAATATATACTGTAGTTTTACCGATATAGTTTTGTACTCAATTTATTTTCAGAAATTATTGTTATAGATCACCCAGTTAAACATTGGGTTGCATTTGTTCGTAAGCTTGGTGAATGGGGTCAGTTGTGAGCCGGGCTTATGAGGCCCTGGTGGGATACATCTTGGGTGCTCGGCGAAATGTACTTGCGGTGGAGTGGTCAGATCATGCCTCTTCCGAGGCAGTGAACTCCGTGGATGACACAGACGCAGAGCACAGACTCCTTGACCCCGCAAAGGTTTCCTCGCGCCTTCGGCTGGGTCGTGAGTTTGTGCCAGTCGAAGGGCCAGATCCATCTCCTCCCACGCCCTCTTTCCGCATCATGCAGTGGAACGTCCTCGCCCAAGGTGGGTCACTTGGCAATACTGTCCTGTATGTAGTCACAGTGGTGCCATATGCCACCCCAACACAGGTGTAAATCCAGCCTTAACTTGAGCCATAGGGAAATAACGTGAAATATGCATTGGTAACATTGTCAGTTGATATAAGCTATTAATTTGTTTCTTAACATTACATTTTTTCAACGAGTCCCATAATGTTTGAAAATAATCCAAGTGGAATTTTTTTTATTTAAATGTACGTGCATACTGTCCATTAGGCCCATAAAATAATGGCAACCTTAGTGAATTTGCTAAACAGTACCATGTTGCTATCACTGCAACATTCAGTTGCATCGTGTGCTTTCATTGCCTTGGAATGGATTCCAAAATATTCTCATGTTTCTTTCGGCTCATGTATCAGCCCTTGGGGAGGGCAAAGACAACTTTGTGTGCTGTCGACCTGCTGACCTGACATGGGCCGCCCGGTGGCCACTTATCCTGGATGAAATCGTATCTTATCAGCCCGACCTTATCTGCTTGCAGGTGGGTGAGACTGCAGGTCACACCAGTTGCTTTCATTAAAAGTCAATTTCCATGTAGGGCTTTCTTTTCTTTTATAGCACTTTGTTTGATGTTTCTTTCAACTTAAAGGTTACAGCATGCTGTATCTCAAGTATACATGTTGAAAAACAGCACTTATTTTTGCTATATACCAGAAATGTGATTAAGATCTGCTTTTATGTCATTTCCAGAAGTGGGCCTTGCTTTACGTGCAAAAAATGTAATAGTAAAAGTTGCAAAAGCGTTTAATTGTTGCACGTCACACGTCCTGCATGTAAAACACAGTGAATGCAGTTTAAAGGTTGTGTTTGAACATGAGTGTGACCCGGCTTAGCAGCGTAACGGTATACAGATATGCTCAGCATTCATTGTCCTCGGCCATCTGGCTGTGTCATGCTTCCGTGTGCTGTCTTTGCCTGCAGGAAGTGGACCGGTATCACGATGCTTTCAGCCCTGCGCTGAATCAGCTTGGGTACGGAGGTGCGTTTGTGCCCAAGCGCCATTCTCCATGCCTGGACGTCCAGCCCAACTATGGCCCCGATGGCTGTGCAATTTTCTATCGCAAGGAGCGATTTGAGCTCCTGAGTGGATACGCAATCGGTCTGCGTGCTGAGCCCATCCCCTACCCAACCCACCAGGTAGTGAGAGCTCGGAATTATCACAGCATAACCTTGCCATAAGCCATTTTTAAAATTGACAATACCACAAGAAACATTTAGCTGTTTTAAGAATGTTCTTGACATTGACTTTCTACGAGCCTCGAGCATTTTTGAGAAGCCAAGTAAATAATAGTTTGGGTATAGACAATTACACGGCTGTGGTTCGTATGCCAAATTGATGTTGAATATATACAACATTGTTCGTGCATTATTTCTCACTTTGAAAATTCACCTATATCCTAATTTCCTCAACTTAATTGTATTGGTTGCAAATTTGGGCAGTGCGCCGTGCAAGCGTCCATTCAGATAAAAACAGCGAATAGTTTGCTGATCATACGCTTACACAGTATGGTCCTTGCTGTGTCGCTGTTGAATTTTTTGTCAAACATCCCTGCAGGTTTTGTTGGTGTTGAAGCTCTGTTACGTTGACACGGGACATAGCCTGACAGTGGCGTGTACCCACCTGAAGGCACGGCAGGGCTGGGAGCGTCTGCGTGCCGCGCAGGCAAAACACTTGCTCAGCTGCTTGGACGGCGACCGAGAAGCTCGTGAAGGTCCCCTCATCGTGTGTGGGGATTTGAATGCCAAACCTGCAGAGACTGTTCATCAGCTATTTTCTGCTTCAGCCCTGGGCCTCGGCAGTGCTTACAGGTGAAGCAGTCCTGTGCAATTGTGGCAGCGATTTGCTTTGCATATTTCATCACCCTTTTATGAAAAGCCTTGTGTCATTTCTGTTCAAATGTTTATTTACCACGTAATCATATTGCCATTGTTATTCATCTGTTTTGGGCAAAGGAATAATACAGGTAAATTGACAGTCCATTGCATTACCTTTTCATACATCGTAAAAAAAAAATCATGTCCTTACAAAACAGTTGTTGACACTACTCTTATACAATGTCTTGTTTTATATAGATCGATCTTATGCTCAAAGTTTAAACCATATCTCCTTCAGAAATACACAGGCCCATTTAGAAGTATATGGGTCATGTATTCTGAAATACATGCGTGCTTGTCGCCTCAATGCTATTTTTATTTTATTTGTTTTCAACGGCAGGAAGTTGAGCGAGGACGGAGAGACGGAACCACCCTTCACTACATGGACGGTACGTGCCGGTGGGGAGACTCAAGCCACCTTGGATTATATATGGTACTCCCAGAATGCTCTGCGTGTGGAGCGGCTGCTGAATCTTCCATCTGAGCGGGACATTGGCTCTGGGCGGCTGCCTTCGTCCACATACCCGTCCGACCACCTCTCCTTGGTGTGCGACTTCAGCTTCGTCGGAGATACGCGTGCTACGTGACTTCCTCCCATCATGGGCCATAGACAGACTGGTTGTACCATGCTTTGACAAGGGAACTATTTCCTGAAGGGGTCTATTGCTTGTGCCTGTTCATTTTTTGGCCATGCTGAGGATTTGCCATTGATGTCAAAAAGGAAGTTGTTGAATGACAAAATCCCAGGTTTTTTTTGGGTCGTTGCATACAAAATAGACCATGGAATAATATGCAATAGGTCACAAATTTCACGAAGGAAATAATGGTACTTATATTGACTTGTTTGCAGAAGATCAGGTGTTTGGGTCTGTGCTTAACTGCATTGCAACTGCTAATACAATGGGCTGGTAGATTACTTGATGGGATTTATTTACTTTCAGATGCCAGGTACTAGACTTCATAGTGACAATGGCGTAATTAATTAATTGAATTGCATAATAACTTTTCATGAAACTGCTGTACGGCCATTTCGCTAGACCATCAACATTAATCAATAACCTTGCCTTTAAAGGGAAACATGTATTCGGTGAAACTTCAGGCAATGCCCCTTCACAGCAGTGTGATTGATTAATGTGTTGTGTTTATTATTTGTGCTTGTGCACCACAATGCAGTGTCACAGTTTATATTTTGCGTTACCTTTCACAACCAATCAAAATATTTAAAAGCAGTTCTGGAGCTACACTTTGCCCTCGTGTGCTTCTATTAGCACGAAATATCTTGATTTTATAAGAGTATAGTACTTGAACAATAGAAATGTCATTTTTGTCAAATGCTGCTGCCATTTTATTGAAAATAATGCTTCATCTCAATGCAAAGATATTTTTTTTTCTGAATGAAATGCTGCTGTTGCACTGTCAATATGTGGACATTAAATTAAAATTGTTTGCCTTGGTTATCCTGCATATTTAATTTAGTGTACATATTTGCAACACTGAGGGCAGAATAAAAAGTTTGATGTACATAGGCCATTCTGTCAGTCTGCTGCTGAATGAGCGCCTCTCCACGCCATGGAGGTTGTGAGCATTATTCTAGATTTGAAGTTTTCGGTATTTATACAGGTAGGAACAACAGTTCCACACTGCCCACCAGGGATTATTTGTCTGTCATGCATAGCCCCTCCCAAACATGTCCGCTCCCGGATTGGTGACCGCGAGCTTTCTGTCGTGCACGAATGCGCTGTCCAACCAAGTTCCTACCTGCCCACTCCGAAGGAACGTGTTTCTAGATTTGAAGTTTTCGTGACTGCAAGAATCCATACTCTTTGGTTCTTTCGGTAAAGTCACTGCAGATTTCTTGCCCAGTTCAGCAGTTGTTTCTAACTGTTGTGTCCCACCTGACGACCGGCGCTTGTGTTGCGCCCGAAACGTCGTGAGTTATATTTTTTTCACCTACGTGACTTTACCGAAAGAACCAAAGAGTTGTGAGCATTGTTTAATTCACCGCGCTATTCAGTGCCGGTTCGTGAAGGCAGGGAGCACAAGTACAGTACAGCAATATAATTTGTAGGCATTTTCCTTTATTGCCTATCCATTAGCCCCCCCCTCTGCCTCATGACAATTTGTTTGAGCAAAGTCGCTTATCCAAGCACTATCCAGGTTCCAATCTGCTTGGCTTGAGGTCTTAATAGGTGGGGCACATTCCGATTCATTCGGCCACAATAAAACATCGTCTATAGTTCTACAAAACATTGCGTTGACTGATTACTAAAACACATTAAAACTGGTAATTTTATAGGTAAATTGATAAAGGCTTGCACATTTTAATAACCCTGGCTCATCAACGAACATGTCAGACTGATTGACACTCCCACTTTATATATTTTTTAGAACGAATGACTAAAAGCCCTTTGGCATTCGGGGACAAATGAAAAGACCCAGCCTCAGCAGTTCAGAGACAAGAATGCACGGTGGAATGAACGCTCGCCGTGATAGACTTGAAGTGTGCCATTTTTCAGCTCCTTCAGCTGTTTTGAGTGAGAAAAGTAACGTGGAAGTCGATACAGATTTAGGCCTTTATAGTAACATGGTTAAGAAGTTGCGTGGATGACAGCTGCCACCTGCAGTCAGAAATGTAGAAGTGATTAGTTAAAGGTTTTTAGTGTATTACTGGGGAGCAATGGATTCAACGTAACCGTCTCGCCCCTTGTCAGTACAGGAGCCCCCCCCCCCCCCCCCCAAGGGAAGCTAATGACCCCACCAGCGTTGCCTAATTATGTGAGCTGCCCCTCGTCGAATTCCGCTCTCACACGCACACTAAATAAAGTGAAAAGCTTGAAACAAGATGCAGGCCCACTCATCCAGGACAAAGACGCGCTATATAAAGGGGCCTCCAGGTCTGGTTCCATTGACACAGGCTCATGGGAAGATGTCAAGCAAGACGGGAGTCATGGCAGCACATCTGCCGCAATGACTTGAACACTTTTCAAGAAACTCCTCAGTGTACTGCAAGAGAAGATGCATCAGCGCAAAGGCTGTACAACCCTCAACCGGTTGACTTTGCTTGTGGTATCTGGACATTCCTACACATCCAGGATTTATTGGACTGTTCTCCGATGCATGTACCCATCGCCGGCTGACCCATTCGATTCTTTTGTTGACCTTATACGGCACACTGACACGAGACCCATCAATACAAGTGTATTGATCATCGCAGCACGGTTGAGTTGGCCAGGGGTTCCAGGGCTGGAACCTCTGGGGCTCTGGGTTCGAATCCAGGCAGAAGTCCTATTGAACAGGATCCACAAGCGTTTGAGTTGATGGTCTCGCTCCGGTCACCTAATTGCTGGTCAAATAAAATATGCTCCTGCACTTACAAATTCCAGATGAGAGATCAAATATTAGTCTTATCGTCACGACAAACCTCACGTAGCACTGCCCTCTCCTGTGTGTGGATCATAGCTCCCTTGAAATGATCTCCCGTTTATATCCACTTCTGTGACTTCTGTGAGCCGTTCACAATACGATAGCTTTGCACTGATCTGCACGAGATCTTGAAAGGATTCTTCGTCTCGTAACGTGACACAGGATAGCAAAATATGAATATAATTTGGGGGTAAATTACAAAAAAATTGAAAATCATGTGCAAATCTTGACTCAAAGCTTTCGTGACTGCAGGAATTCATATTATTGGGTCTTTCGGTAAAGTCACGTAGATAGGTTCAAAGAAAATAACAAAAACTACGACGTTTCAATCGCAACACAAGCAATCGTCATCAGGAGAAAGAAGAGAACAGTCCAAAAAAATTTTTTGACTGTTCTCTTTTTTCTCCTGATGACGATTGCTTGTGTTGCGATCGAAACGTCGTAGTTTTTGGTTATTTTCTTTGAACCTATCTACGTGACTTTACCGAAAGACCCAATAATATAGCATCTGCAAAGTTTAGACGTTTCTTGTCTGAAAGTACAAGCTTTATGTAATCTTTTTTGTGGCTGCATGTCAGTGTGACTAAGAGCAGACATCTCATGGGTGGATGTCGATGCGGCTTTGGTGTATCGATAAAATCGTTAACATTGTGTGCAGTGCAACGTGGAATGACTCACCCGTTCAATATGACTTTGGATTTACACCATTGATATTAAACTCGAGTTGAACGCCAGCCCATGTGCATTTGAGCATGAAACCATTGTCAGAGCGACCCATGCATGAACTCCGTTTACCACAAAATACTGAGATAATTTTACCTACTTTATAAGTCCCCAAATACAAATTGCTTGAAACAATTACGGGTTAAAATTAACATAAAATATCATCCCCCTGCTGGTTAAAACCACAATTGCTCATTTTCGCATTTGAAACATTTAAAGTAGTGGCCATCCCTTCACGGCTGTAGCGAGATGTGGTTTGCAATAGTAAGCTCAAGTGTGAAATAATTATATATTTGTATTACCAATTTATGTGGCCCATAATGGGTAGGATATTTATTGTAATGAATAATAAAAGCTGAGTTGGAAATGTTTGAATTTTAAACCCATGAAAACAGGAAAATGCAGGCAGGCTAGAAACATACTTAACACACACACAGCTGTGCTCAAATAGCAGGAAGGCACGAGTCCCAGCATGCATTGCATGCAGGTCATGTGACCATATTGCATGTAAAATTCCCTCCGCCTTGTCTAGATCACCAACTCAAAGGAGCTGAAAGTGGTGATATCATTTAGACCCCCAACTCAAAAGAGTCGAGTGTTAGTTCACACCAATCATTCAACAAAAAGCAACGTGCAGTCTTTAGCATTTATTACAACTAAATTTCCGAAATAATTCAGTCCATTCTTGTTTAACAAGAAGCATTTTAAAATGCTACTGCAAATGAAACGTACATTACTTAAAAATATTTACTAACAAGTGAAGTAAAATCGCATTACTCTAATACACCATCAGTTTTGTCTTGTGTGTATTATGAGTGTGTAGTTTAAAATAACATTCGCTTATTCCCACTTTGCAGTCGTTTAAAAATAAAATGCGAAAATCATTTTGGCATGCAGTATCTTAGTAAAAAAACACTCGTAAAAATTGACAAGCTTAACAAATAGTTGATATGTATGGAAAGGTATTCCATCGCTTAAAATTAAGCTTGAACAAGAACCTGTTACACAAAAGCTAACATTAAAACATAACATTAAACGTTACATATATGATGTATATGTAGAGCGAATACAGTACATTATACAATGACGTGTTTCTCTTATTGTAAACATAACATGGAAACGGTAAGTGCTTGGGCACCAACCTACAATACTTTAACACACAACTTCATAGTGCCCATAAATATCATGCTGTAACACTGTTTTAGATATACAAAAAAATACCGTGAACATGGAAAATATCGTCAATTATATTTCCGTTAAAATATACCACGTTAAAACATTTCAATGTAAATGCATATGGGGTCCTTTAAAAAGCACATAAAGTTTGGACAGTCGTACTAAACGGCATGTTGTCATCTTGCATTTGTAACACAGCACTAGTTATGTAAATCAGTTCATTCGCTGCAGAAACTGCAACTGTGGTCAAGTCTTCAGGCTCATTTTCTAACCATTTCACGAACTTTGAAAGCCATCGAGTCTCTCTTCATTTGAATGCTCGGATCAAGTGATCTTCATTTGCATGGTATAAAAGCCACTCAAATTCATTATCCAGCCAGCGCAGACGGTGAATTCGATGTCAAATGCTTTGCGCCAAGAAAATCAGTTCTCTTTGGATGGAACATGTAAACCCACAGGTTAACATGTGCCAACATTTAAACTTAACATTTTCAAAGCAGAAGTGCCATGTGCCTTGCACATTGTTGAATCTTGTTGCTTGTCCATAACCATTATTCAAAAGTCATCAAGTTGTCTGGTGGCTGAAAAAGAAGAAGCAATATTTGATTAAAAAAAAAATCTTCAATCATGAAATATATATTTTGTATTAAATTATACATTTTGACTATTTAATTTAAGCCGAAATTAAACTAATGTATATATGTGGAAAGTAACTCACCTGGGCGATGTTGCTTTTACAGGCTTTATCTAAATGTTTGACCCAAAGGCTGGCATTGACGTCTGACACAGCTTGAAACTTGTACACATTGCCTGCAATTATAACAACACACATGCTTAAATTTCTTCACACACACTGCATTTTTCATTTTCCTGTACCCTTTCATCGGTGAATAACGTAAAAAAAATTACCAAACGATTGCCAATGGCAAGAACCATAATTGCTGGACAAACTCACTTCACATGTTTACATATGGTGCAGGAAACAATGAAGCTCGTTTATAAATTTGGTACGCTAAAAGGCTCCGAAAATCTGCTCGAAGTAATATTACCAACTTTACTCGAAACATCCTCGAACAATGGCTTAACTTTGTAACTCGAAACTTAGCTCTGGCAGATTGGGAACATCGTGGAATGTTGCGCAATGCCGCACCCGTGTTAACACGGCGAGCATGAGTCGCTGAACAAAAATCCCAGTTTTTCATTTGTCGTGTTTCATCTAATTGCGCCGATGATGCACATTGGGGATTAAACGCACCTCTTTCGGGGTCTGTGAGTTGAAACACAGTTGAATGATCAGGATCAGCAGCTCTAACCACCATCCAGCCAGCAATGTGGACCTTCTTAGATGGACGTGACTTAAACTGTGTGGGGAAACAAAGGAACACAGGCAACACGTTTGCATGCTTTCTTTTCAATTGTAGCAAAACTTCTGGTGGATATTTAAGGGGTGCTTTAAGCTCCAGCTTTTCAAACTGCAGCTTTTCAAGATCAAGCCTGGTTAACCTCCGCGACCTGACGGAGAGTAAATGATTCAGTCACAGGCACGAATGACGCTCAAGAATCAGAGCTTGGAAAGTGGCGTCGTGTATAATATGCACGTGACGACCAATATCATGGCACCTTCTGCCAGTATCAAAGTATGAAAAATAAGTATAGGTGTTACTCTTTCTGGAAATAAAACAGGTGTTAAGATGTTCAAACGTCAAACACATACCTTTTGCAAAGAATCAAGTCTGCATTAACCACACGTACATGCGGTGAGCATGCCAACAAACTCTAACAACCCATCTCTGAACTCACATGCTTTCTGTCCGCAACCTTCATGGACTTTGCCGAATAAAAGTACAGATCTGCTCCGCACAAAGAGATCCAGTATCTTGTCCACGGAGACATCTGTTACGACAAAAAATAGGAGCAAGAGCAATGCAAAACAATACAAACGTTAACGTAACATGTGAACGCTTGTAAAATAATGTTGCACTGACAAATTATTAAATGAAAACCTTCCAAATTACGGTGGTTCATCTGTGAATTGGCCGCTTGGAATTTGACAATAATGGATATGATAGACTGCCTTCATTGCCATGGGAATGACTCAAAATTGCACAAAATGCAATGCAACAGTTACCCAACTATGCATTTGAGTAACGATCTAGACACACACACAGATACAATATGCTCCATGACAAGAAAATTGTGATTTCCCAAGGCTGAGCGTACGGTTGGTCTCCGTCCTTCCTTCAAGATGGTCCTGCGCTTCAGTGCTCCTTCCAAGGTGACCAGGCTGCTCGGAGGAGGAAGGGGTGAGTCGTCCAAATCCAGGGAGCTGCTGACAAAGGAAAACTATTATAAATGCAGGCAATGTTGACGATGTATCAACTAAACTGTGCCAGGAAGTCACCACATGTTAACCAAAACACATTGACTTGTTTTTTTTAGACGCACACACAACACCCAATGCAAATATTAAGATTTTATTGAAACGTAAAAAATGGTTCATCAGTAGTTTGATGGAATTTCAATACAGGTGGAGCAAGGTCACAAGATAAATTCATAGACAAATCCACTAAAATAATTGCGACTGTTATTAGAGGAGGCTGCGGTTGTGCAGTGGATACTCCATTGCCCTGCGAGCCTGGTAACCCGAGTTCGTGGCCGTGGACGTGGATAACTTCAGTGGAGAGTGCTATCGCTTGTTGGCCTTCATTCACCAACCTGTACGGATTCGTACGGTCAAGTATGGTCAAAAAACCCCAATGACCAATATGGCATAGAGGCCTTCTCCAGCAGTGGATTGAGGGCTGTATATTGTAATCGTATTATTAATTTTTACCGAAAGAAAATTACACATTAAACTGACAAAATTCACTTCATTGACCTACGTTATCTTAAGTGCACACATGAAGTTGCTGCGCCACTTTCTCTCGGCACCTACAAAATTATGGCAAAGGTTTTTTTTTTACAGAAATGTCTTCTTCTGTGCACAACGTCCATGCCATCGACAAAGGAAACTCTTTCGCACATCCATTGGAAAAAAAATTGGGGGGGGGGGAGGGGACCGGCGGTGGGGGAGAATAATGAAAATGCCGATGATGCAGCAACAGATAATGCAGCGGTGGCCGTGCGGTGATGCGGTGTACCTGATGAAATGCACTCTGGCACATCTGCTCCTGTGTCCTGCGCTCCATGTCGCATACTTTGTCATTTGCCCCACGTGGGGTGGCAGGGGCAGTGTACTGCGAGGTAAAGAGCACGATCCCGTGGGGTTACGCTCCGTGCAATCACGTGACCTCTTGTTGTTGGCGGCATCGGCGGATGAGACCCCGAGAAGATGTTTCAAGAACCGAGTGACACCCGCCAAAAAGATGAAGCACCCCCAAAAAATATGCACATTGGCACCTGTACTTTGCATTGCCCTCGAAGCGATCGGGCAAATCGAGATTGACCAACTCGTTTCTTTAGGACTGCTTTTTGTGCCGAGTTTGTTGTCCTCCCCTCCACCGCACCTCCGATTAGCACGGTTGACTACGTACGGTGCGAAATAAGTTCAACATACAAACATACGTACAGGCGGGGGTGGACACCTAGCAAAAGCCTTTATATTTTTGGGGTGTTCCATTTTAATGCAGGGGGTCGTTGAGTGTTAAAACATCTCCAGATGCCATGTGGGACAGCGTCTTTGCAAAATTATATCGAAAACAATGTGAAAACAGGTCAAATGCTGCCAGGCATGTGTGCGATCGTACCGTGTACTAATATACGATAGGTGTGTGTGTGTGCCTTCTACATGCATTGTATATAAAAACCCATCTAACAAAAATGTAAATATAGCAATGCTATCCTTGAGTTAAACTATAATTCAATTTTCTTGGTTCTTTCGGTAAAGTCACGTAGAAGGGAAGGAATGAAATAATAAGAAGACGGCTGCTTTCGTTGTAGCCGAAACGTCGTGAGAATTATTTTATTATGTTTTATTTTTATTATTTTATTACTTCCCTTCTACGTGACTTTACCGAAAGAACCAAGAAGATGAATCCCTGCAGTCACAAAAGCTTTAAATCGAAATATAATTCAATTGTTTTGTATAATTAACATAACCTAAGAGTCAACGAAATTAAATTGCAGTTGCCATGTCTTGAACTCAGCCACATTTACACATTTCGATTTAAAGCTTTTGTGACTCATCTTCTTGGTTCTTTCGGTAAAGTCACATAGAAGGGAAATAATAAAATTAAATAAAAGCAAATAATGTATTATTTATTATTTTTATGTTTTATTTTAATACTTTTATTATATTATTTATTATTTTAATGTTTTCTTTTTATTATTTTATTATTTCCCTTCTACGTGACTTCACCGAAAGAACCAAGAAGACATTTCCACATGTTGCTGTGTGTCCGATTACTGCTGTATATCTCAAGTGCAGCACTTTATATGGCACACCCACTAGAAATATACCGTGCAGTCAATGTATTCATCATCCCTACTGAATCTATACACGGTGCAAACACGCCAACTGATTTGGTTCATTAGCAAAGTCGGAATGCTGAAAAGCAAGTCTAGCCATTGTCAAATATTGGAACAAACTTCCCCTCCACATTACGCAAGCGACCACCCCGTCTAGTTGTGGCTCCTTCCTCAAGAAACCATCTCTTCTTCCTACTGGTCCAGCCTTCCCTCCATCCATCCCGAGGTAACCCAGTAATTCCCATACCCCATTCCTATTCACCATATCACGTTCGGCTACGCTAATTGTACCACTCATCACCCTTGGAAAGCTCCTTGGATGAAAGCGCTATATCAATATAAGATAAGATGATCTAGCTCAACGGAAACCAATTACAAATCAAATTCTGAAAGGCTATGCTTAAAATTATATATTATCCATTTTGAACTAGTCACGTAAAAAATATCCAAGGTTAAATATGTCCGTACGTTTTTCATTTTGAGAACAGAGCAAAATATTGCGTTAAGCTAACAGCATAAAAGCAAAGCAAACTCAAAAATGGAGAATGTGCAATTGTCTATCGATTGCTTTGTAACACATCTGTGATGGCCTGCAATGCAATGCACGGTCCTGTGACTTGAAACAGCTTTTACACTTATTGACCATACCTGTCAAATCCAGCGTAGCTGAGCTCCTCGCTCAGCTCAGACCCTTCGCTACTGCCTAAAAGCACAAAAGTTAAACATTCATTAAATACTCACTCTATTTCACATTGATCATTTGACCAATCCAATATGTATGATGTTTCAAAGTACAGATATTTTCATTCCTGTCACTTGTACGTGCTTCAAAGTGTGTGCTTTATTGTACAAAGCATGCAATTAACAAAATTGAAAATCGCAGATGGCGATGGTCAAAGAACGACTGCGTGGGGTTTTGGAGGCTCTGCAGTAGCAAATTTAATTCGGTTCTGCAAAAACCTTCTGGTACGTGGAGTGAAACATCGTACATCGTGCCGAATAACACGTGGTACAACCTGACAACACATGGTCGGGATAAGTAATTGTTTTCACCGACAGTGAAGGACACATGGGGTAAATTCACCTCTTGATAAAATGGCCACAATGCATCATCATAGTGATTTCCCATGTTGTTGGTGATGGAGACATTGGCAAATAAATGTTTTTGTAGGTAAAGGTACGTACTCCTAATTGGGAATTGGGCCCATGGGCGGTGTAAAAACACCACAAAATCACCATCATTTATCAGTGCAAATTAAATACATTAAGCATTTTAAACTGCAGGTGTCACTGTTAAACCATAATACCAGGGGGCACACGGTTAATGTAACACTAACAAGTGAAGTGTACAAAGCTATTGACAACACTCCGCGCCTTTCATAATCTTCAAACGGTGAGTGTGCCGCAACCTTTCGCTCCCTGTAGGTTTTGTACTTCAGCCGTCTGGGAAATAAACGGCAGCAAGCAGCTCACCGTACACTGACACCGGCTGGTGGTGCTCACAATGACACCGACACAGCAGAGCCAAATGTACAACTCAAATACATTGACACACGGGGGCATCTATCCAGAGCTGTAGAAATTTTACTGGTAGGAACCTCCTGGTTACACCAGCCCACAGGGGATTATTCTGTCCGTCCGTCGTGCATCCAAAAATGGGAGGGGTGGGGCTGGGTGGGGAGGGGCTGGGTGGGGAGGGTGGGGCTGGGTGGGGGGTGGGAGGGGTGGGGCTGGGTGGGGAGGGGCTGGTCACCCCGTGGTGCCCTTATAAAACTCAACGTTTAACCTACTCACGCCGGCTTGTGCTCGCCCTCACAGTCGGCCATATTTGCGGAATACACCACACCGCCGTTGACCCTGGCCATTGACCAAGCAACCCAACGTTCCTACCAGCTCCCTCCGCAGGAATGTGTTATTTGAATGCCAGGGAGACATTTCAAAATGGTGAGAGAGCAAAGGTGCGGCACCTGCAAGTTACTTGTTCATGCCACTGCTGGCAGAAGAGGCTCCACTCGAGCAAGCTCTACAGAGCTTCTCGAGAGAATATCTTGGCCTCATCTTGCATGCTGGCCAGACATCTTGCGAATAATTAGGAGTACTCCGCACTCTACCCCACCACACACACGAGCTGCCAATCGACTAACTGTAGAGAAACCCATTTATACGGCTGGGTTGACAGAGGTGGGGGTGGAGGGAATTGAAGAAACTTGGCCCATTGTTTCAATTGCTGTGCAGGGGAGGAGATCGAGCCAGCGACCCCTGTATTGCAGGTCCACTGTGTACTAACCATTATGCCATGGCAGCTCTTATTTTGTGTAATTACCAAATACAAACCGGGCTTTAGAACAATCCATGAGGCTTAAGAACTTGCCAATTGTTTCAACTGCCACAAACCGGTGACCTCTGGATTTGCAAGTCCTCACCATAATTACACCTTTCCATACTTACAACGTGTAATCTTATTTGTATTTTTGTATTTTAAGATTGTTTAATACGGCTAATTAACATTTTACATTTCGCATTTTATAAGGTCTACTTATTCATAATTTTGAAGATTTTAGCCCTTTAGTATTACTTATACTTTGTAACGTTAGTATAGTTAGTGTGTATACCTTCTATATAAGTTAAGATTCCTACTTGTTCAATGTATGCACCGTCCAGCCATAGTGAATTCCTTGTCTGTGCAAACTTACATGGCGATTAAAACCGTTTCTGATTCTGATTACACCCGGACGCACCGTACATTCAAAATATCAGAAAGGCCGATTTTATTTCTTTCTGAGCTGGGGGGGGTGGGGATGTGTGTGTGTGGGGGGGGTGCATTTGTGGGGGGGGGGGGCAAGGCCGTGTTTACCGATGGAGAGGCCGCTGGAGAGAAAGGAGGCGTCGGTAGCCGTGCGCAGGGGGCTGCTGCTCTCGATGACGCTGTCGTCCAGCAGATGGCGGGGCCGCACGGCTGGCAGGGTCATGCTCTTGGCCTCCGTGCCCGACTGCGGGCCCACGAAACTGGCCGTGGCAACGAAAAAAAACGGGACCGAGCGCCACCCCACCCCCCCGTCGTCGGTGGTTAGACGTGCGGAAAACTCGCGTCCTCGTTGTTGTTGTGCGCGTGTACGCCGGACTTCTTCCGCGCCGCATGCAACCAACCGCGCTGCTGATCTGAAGTGACTGATGTTCAATCACACGAACCGTTTTAAAAGTTCGACGGAGCCATTATGGCATTGGCTAATTCGTTCGAGCCGACGAGCTTGATTTTGCGTCTGGGTCTGGGGTCTGTAACACGAGACGCTGCGCGGAAAAAAGTACGACACGAATTATTCAGCTCGAATGGCGCCGTAATTAGAATTTCTGTAATCGCTCATTAGGGGTTAGCAGTGGGAACAGAAAGTTACCCGGTACTTGAATAGCTTCTCCATGAATTAATAGTTGATCTGATTTTAACGAACGAACACACATAAGCTACAATCAATTTAAATAAACAAAATAAATTAATGGCGTCCAATATTCATGCACCATCACATTTCAACTTTCAGTTGCAAAAATAAAACGCTCACCAAAAAATGTGCTACGGATCTTAAAGGCACAGTTGCATTTATGAATCAATTGTATTTCTAAGAAGCCACCAAGGCTACTAGCAGATTCACTCTTTCCTCGACACCGCAGCTTATTGCATTTTGTCTCGCTCGAGTCTTATTATGAATCACAGATGTTTCGTCTATTCCTTGGCACTTGCAACGGTGGACGCAGAGAGATATATGACGCATGCGGTGGACGGGTGTCTTTAATTGCGGTTGGAAGCAGAAGTTGCAGCCACTCTGTGGAGGTTGGGTGAGTCTCACTCGCAAATGCTTCCCAGTGGTTATTGGTTAGATTATACAAATGGGATTCACGAAGTTGGCTCCCCCCGCTTCATCACGGAGTTCTACCCAACTATAATTATAGTAATTATAGTAAATTTACGCAACTACTGGCTACTGACTCAGTACTGAGCCTACTGTCTATGCGCTGCTCTGCATTGAAAGGTTCCTTCATCAGCATAAATCAGCATTTTTGTCACCTTTTTGAAGGGAGAAAAATAGAGACTTAGAAATACCAGGATTTTTTCCTCGAAATATTGCAGGAGTCTCTTAGCCGCATCTAAACATGCTGGGGGTGTCCGAATATTCACGACACCCACAGTCGCTGCGCCGAGCTTTGCCACCGCCACAAAAAAACCAGGAAAAATCATGGGGAAAAAATAATCTCGCAATACTGGAATAGAGAAGAACTACACGTGAATGCATTTGTCTTGAGTGATGAGTTATCAGCCAAACAACATGAACGGCCACTTATGATGTCCTAGGAAGATTGACTGATTTCACAGGTCAGGCAAGCTTAAACAGAGCACAATCCCTGGTGAAAACCAGAACAGACAGGCGATGTGCAAAACCTCATCACCCCCCCCCCCCCCCCCCGATTGACTTCACCGCCTACCGACGAGGTGGGGAAAACAACAACCTGGCACCTCTCTGAGCCGCACACGGGGACGAGCTCAGCACAGCCCCCACGCACGGCTCGATTGCATCGCTGGAAAGCAGGTGTACGGTAATACACTTGGACTGGGGCGCCTTAAACTAACGGTTGGAAGCCGCCAAAGCCCTCCTCGTGCGCTGGCCCAACCTGCTGCCCAGACTGCGGCTCTTGCGGTGGCAGCACGGCGGGGTGTGGCGCGCGAGGGGCGGCGTGGCTCCCGGACTGTGGAAGGAGAGCGCCTCGGGGGCCGTGGGTCTCCTGCCGACACGCGGGGATGACGACAAGTCGGACGGCCCTGGACGTCGGCCAATGGAAAACAGACACGCGCGCAAAAAAAAAAAATCGGACAAATCTGCGTTACTGTCGGTTCCATTGAGAGGAAAAACATTCCCTCTTGCCCAAAGCGAGCGCCTGGCCTCTGTGGCTTCATTTACGGTGGCGGTTCCAAGTCGGCGGTGGAAACTCCACATTCCGTTGGCGGAGCCCGGTCTGTCTGGTGGACAAATAAGGGCTGAAACCCTGAAGCCTCATCACGTGCAGCTCAAACTGCCCATTTGACTGACTCTGCAGCGACGTTGACCCTGGCCGGATTTGAACTCGTGTCCTCTTGTAGACAGTTTATGCACCGATGGAGACTCAAGGACATTTCACCAGCGCAAATGTGGCGAATAACTTTACACAATGGAACATCGATCTCAACTGCACGTATTCCTTTGAAACATCTCTGATATTCCCTCTGCATCTCCAGAAGTTCCTAAACTGCATATCAAAACATATCATACTCTAACACATTGCTATTTCTCCATATGACAACACAAGTTGACAGGGAGCTTGCTGACCTATCAACTGAGCTACATAGGCATTGAGACAAAAACTTAGCAAGGTCATAGTTATTCTTGGTTCTTTCGGTAAAGTCACGTAGGAGGAAAATAATAAAATAATAAAAATATCTTGTCTTGTATTTTTATTCTTTTTTATTCTTTTATTATTTCCCTTCTACGTGACTTTACCGAAAGAACCAAAATATGAATCCCTGCAGTCACGAAAGCTTTAAATCAAAATTTAAGATCATAGTTATCTAGAAATGTTTCAATGCAAGTACAGGTACATGTGAATTCAAGTAAAAAGAGGGGGAGTGATGTTGCAGTTCTTATCACACTACATTATAAACCCGGTTAGCCGAGTCCAACTCACAACTAGGGCTGACATCAGTTGCCAGTGATATTTGAACCAGTCCTGGGCGCCCCCCTTTCACCAACTCGCGCTGACCAGCATTGTGAAGTCTGGTCAAACCACTGACACTATGAGGCCAGGCCGTCATCCGATCAGTAGAATGACAAAGGACCTCAAACTAAATTTCGATTTAAAGCTTTCGTGACTGCAGGGATTCATCTTCTTGGTTCTTTCGGTAAAGTCACGTGGAAGGGAAGTAATAAAATAATAACTATTATTATTTAATTTCCATCTTACATATGTGTGCGTCACTACACTTGACTGCGGACAGTGCAACACGTGTGTAAATAAATCAGAGCCCTGTTTTAATTAAGGAACGGAGGCTGAACAAGCTTTGCCACAACATGCATCAGGTACACCTACTATAATCACCCAGGAATGTCTGTCCTTAACGCTCGTGACGTCACTCCACATCGGCCAGCCCCCCTAATTATTATTCATGAGCAGGTGACGTCCTTCAAATGGGCCCCCCCACCCCTCCTCACTAATAATCATGCGCAAGTGACGTCACTCCACATCGAACAGCCCCCCTCATTAATAATCATGATAAGGTGACGTCCTTCAAATAGACACCCAACCTTCATTAATAATAATTAGCTGGTGACGTCACTCCACATGGGGGGCGAGGCGTCAACTGACAACCCTCACTACAAAGGCAGAACCCTGACGTCACGCGATCTCCGTCACGCTGTTGAGACATCAAAGTAAAAAGGACGTCATGATGAACAAGGGATTATAACCTTAAAATGAAATAGGTCTGTGTCACCGCGCCCTTACAAATTGCACGCTAATTGATGCAATGAGTATCACGTCGCGGTCTGCTTTTCGCTTGCAAGTTTCAGATTTACTGCAATTCACCCGTCCTTGGACGGGCGAAAGGCTAGTTAGTAATAACTTAACACATTTGTCAACAACCTTTTTCCCCTTCGGTAAAGTCACGTAGAAGGGAAGTAATAAAATAATAAAAATAAAACATAATAAAATAATTATCACGACGTTTCGGCTACAACGCAAGCAGCCGTCTTCACCTGAAGATCTAAAGTTGGCTGTTTGCGTTGTAGCCGAAACGTCGTGAGAATTATTGAAGACGGCTTCTTGCGTTGTAGCCGAAACGTCGTGAGAATTATTTTATTATGTTTTATTTTTATTATTTTATTACTTCTCTTCTACGTGACTTTACCGAAAGAATCAAGAAGATGAATCCCTGCAGTCACAAAAGCTTTAAATCGAAATTTTACGTTTTTCCCCTTTAACTTTAGGCCAGTGTGATTGACGAACGTTATTTGTGCTTGTGTGCCCGCTGCAAATGCAGTATCGCCAAAAAATAGCCACTGCAAACAGGTCAATTGTGAAAATATGCACACAGCTGCCCAGTTGGAAGCTGCAGAACCCGGTACATAGCACAACAGCAAAGGAAGTTTCACCGTTCGCATCAACTATGATGCTCTGTCTATCACAGTTGTTGAGCACCAGTTCAGGGACCCAAAATGCCCAGAGGTCAGTCACAAAAGGCACTATCGCATTTTTTATAGATAACGGCGAATATGTTTCTTGAATCGAGCACCTCCAATAATTTCTTGGTTCTTTCGGTAAAGTCACGTAGAATGGAAATAATAAAATTATAAAAATCAAACATTATAAATTAAAAATAAAATAGAGCCAACGTGTTCATTCCAATTAGCACGGTTGACTACGTATGGTGCGAAAAAAGTTCAAAATACGTACATACGTAACAACTAGGTAAAAGAGACAATGGGAAAGAGAAGTGTTGTGACCTGCAATATGGAGGTTAAACACAGGATGGAAGTGAGAAAACAGCCAGTCTGGTAGACAGTCATCAACATGGGTTGAGGGAATCAACGGGTGAAGTTCATGGGACGGATACTCTTTGGTTCTTTCGGTAAAGTCATGTAGGTATAAAATAAATTAAATCACGACGTTTCGGAAGCAACACAAGCGTCCGTCATCAGGTGGGACAGCCACAGCAAGAAACAAATTGCTGTATTGGGCAAAAGAGCAGCTTGTGACAAGAGGCTGTATAAGGCAAGAGAGGGGGGGAGGAGCCAGGGAGGAGAAATATAGTGGGTGGCTGTCCCACCTGATGATGGACGCTTGTGTTTCTTCCGAAACGTCGTGATTTAATTTGTTTTATTTTTTACCTACGTGACTTTACCGAAATAACCAAAGAGTATGGATCCCTGGAGTCACGAAAGCTTCAGATCAAGATTGATTCATGGGAAGAGTAACCATGATATTCTAGATTTGAAGCTTTCGTGACTGCAAGGATTCATACTCTTAGGTTTTTTTTCTTTTTCTCGTGACTTTACCGAAAAAACCTCGTGACTTTACCGAAAAAACATAAGAGTATGAACCATGATATTATTACCTGTAAGGTCCTCCTTCGACATGGCGAGCTGCGGCGTGCTACTCGCAGGCTCGATTCTGAGCGATTGCCTGGAAATACAACGCAGCACGGAACATTGGCATGGCAGGCAAAACTTCATTTATTTAACAGAAGCCGTAAATTCACACTGGACGTGTGCACATCTTGAGTTCACACGACGAGGCCGCCAAGCGACCGACCTTTTAAATCACACTTTGACCTCTCCGCGAGCAATATTAAGTAACGCGCTTGGGAAAACAAAACAGAAAGGAAGAAAAACCCCGTCACACGTTTTCCAGTCGCATTGGGAATATCACAATCCATCCATTTCAATGAAATGGTACCTGAAAGCTACAACTATAAACAAAGGATGCACCCCCCCCCCCCCCCCGCCCTTAGGGACCGATCTGGTGTCTAGAGGTGCAGCATTCATCAGCCACACTGCATGTGAACGGTTTCTCTTAGAGCCAACGTGTTCACTAATCATGTTTGTTTGTTGTAGTACAGAGTTAGCCTCAGTAAATTTTCTGGAGCAGTCAACACCTGATGGCGGTTGCTTGTGTTGCTTCCGAAACGTCGTGATTTAATTTATTTGTTTTCATTTTTATTTATTTTATATTTTTTACCTATGTGACTTTACCGAAAAAAACAAAGAGTATGGATCCTTGCAGTCACTAAAACTTCAAATCTAGAATTAGCCTGATAACTTTAATCTAAATTGTCTTATGGTTGTTATTGTTTGACTTGCATCCCACTGGGATTTTTGCAGACGGCGTTGAAATACGGTGCTTTTTTGGAAGACTTTTTCTGTTTTTTCCTGGATTTTTCTGTTGCGGGTAGTTACTTTAAGATGTTTCTTGTTTATGTTTTTGTTTGTTGCGGTTGCACCCGAGTCAAGAGCCGCATGGCTCACAGGGTTATACCTAACAAATGAAACTTAAACTCTCCGCTCTCTGAACATTCAGACAGGAGGACACGCAGCCCACGCGGAATGACAGGCAAATGGTTTCCCATATGCGGAGAGTTCTGCTGCTCAGAGAGTTTAAGAGAGTACCCCGCTTTACCTCCGGGGGCCAGAGGCACATTGAATTACATCATTGTGCGATCCATCATTTCCAAGCACATTCAGGTCAACCTCTCATGCCTGGTCTGCTTTAACTCTTTAAATCTTCAGAAAGCGGTCATGGGATTGCGATGATGAGTTTTCAAATTAGAGGCCGTGTGTGTTGAGGATTTCCTACTTTCCTCTGGTGACTGAATGACAACTCATTAGTGTGCGCTTGTTTAAGAAACGGTGACAGTATTAAGTAGCTCCTTGGAGGAAGCTACACGTGGAGTTACCGCTATTGCTGCTCCTGCTGATATACGCCAGATACTATGCACTCACCACATTCGTCCAACATATTGGCTTGAAAAGCAAAAAATATATAGTAGGCATCGTTTCAATCAATGGCCCTTCTTCAAATGATGTGCTATGAGTATGCGACATTGGCCAAAATGTCAACTATTTTACATGTTTCCTTTTAGGCAGCGTTATTGATTAAACAGTTTAGTTTATTTGTTATGTGTGCTTACGCACCACTGCCAACTCATTATCAGTTAATAATTTGTTTACATCAGATACTGCATGCCTACATAGACGTAAAACTGATGGCCATGACACTGAATTCCCTGGATTGATGTTTCTGGAGGAAGCATGGAAGCCATCTTCTTGGCCGATGTTGTTTTACACAATGAATCAAAGTTGATTTAAGTAGCATTTGCTCTGGAATCTGTCACCTGTATTTGAAACTGCACAGTACACACTCATGTCCCTTAATCTGAAGGGCAGTCTGATGTATGAAAAATATATGAAAATACTGCAAACCACTCATGTATTTTTTTTTAAATGTAATAACCTCCACCATCAATATACTTTTCTGACACCACAAATATTTACATGTTTTTGCATTCTAGATTTGAAGTTTTCGTGACTGCAGGGATCCATACTCTTTGGTTCTATCGGTAAAGTCACGTAGATATAAAATAAAATAAATGAAATCACGACGTTTCGGGTGCAACACAAGTGTCCGTCATCAGGTGGGACAACCACAGCAAGAAACAATTGCTGATGACGGACGCTTGTGTTGCGCCCGAAACGTCGTGATTTAATCTATTCTATTTTATACCTACGTGACTTTACCGAAAGAACCAAAGAGTATGTTTTTGCATCTCATTTTATAATACTTTTAACTGCCCTACTTTGGCAGCATTAAATTAGTGTATGTGGATAAGACAAGTCATCTCGGCCATTTAATTTATACGAGGTTGTTATGCATATACAGGTTATGCAATACGGGTACAGACAATAGTATATTTTTCAACTGTCAGCAAGCAGCTGCTGTTTCATTTTACTCAACGGGGCACAGAAAGCGCCATGCAAAAGCAGACTCAAGCTGAAGTCAATACAGTAGTGGAACTTTTCAGAAATATTCTTGCAAACGATGTTTTTTTCTTCTGTATTTAGTTTAAACAATGGGGCAATACAGTTACAAGCGACTCTACAATAATCAACTTTATTCAAAATAAATGTATTTACATGTCACACATGTAAAAAGCACGATGATTGGACAAATAGGGTCACGTGGATCATCAAGCAAAACATTCAACATCGTGGGCTTTTTGACGCTTTTCAACTGAGGTTCAAAGCACTGATGTGTTACCGCTGCCCACTAGCCCATCTATCCATCTGCCTGTAAAATGGGGTCACTATAACGCTCTATGATTTCCTGCAATCACGAAAGCTCCAAATCTCTCATTGGCATGCTAATTTCTCTACCCCCCTCTCTCTCTGTCCCCCTTTCTCTCTATTTAAGGCCTCGACACAGAGGCGTTGTTTCTCTGTGTGCCTATGTGTGTGTCTTTCTCTGTGTGTCTCTGTGTTATCTCTCTCTGCTTATGTGTCTGTCTGTGTGTCTCCGTGTCTGTGTTTTGTCTCTCTATCTCAAATTTAGCAATCTTTGGAAGAACGTAATCAACCAGGTAGGATGTTGACTGTTATGTTAGCTGACTCTCTGTGTTGTATTGCATTATATTTCTAAGTTTACTAGGTTTGTTTTCTCTTTCATTTGTACCTGATGATGATTGCTTGTGTTGCAAATAAAACGTCGTATACTATTATTTAATTTATTTTTTCTTTCTACGTGACTTTACCGAAATAACCAAAGATTAAACCATTTTAAAGTTGAGTTTTTATTAGGAGCTTAAACTACAGAAAAAACAAACTGATGAAATAATTACCCAACACGTAGTGATACAAAAAGATAACCCAGCGGTAACGGCCAAGTCCAATTCAGGCAATGTGATGACGTTATAAGTCATGTGCAGGTTAACTTCCGCATGATGTCCTATGCGCAATATTATCTCATGACACGTCACTCACCCTGTGACGTCATTCCATTTTTGCACGAGATGATGGCACAGAGAACTTTGAATAAAAACTGGATTAATCTGTCCTCATGGCATTATGCAATGGGTCGTCTTGATTATTAATTGCATATTCTTATTTTATTCTCATTTATTTGTTTACAAATGTCCTTGTTTTACTTTTGCCTTCATAGGCTGAACCCGTGCATTTCATTTCATAGATCCCTGCTGGGTCCGAGTGAGCTCTAGGCAAGAGGGGAGGGTGAGGTTTTGGCCTCAGGCTTTTGTGTATGAATGAATGGAGACAAAGAAACCATTTTTGACAACAATGGCTCAATAACGAACAACTGTGTTAGAAAGCAGAAGCAAAAAGAGTCGCACAATGCGACATGGAATGTCACGCAACAAAAGTTACATGCAAGAAAGATGCCCTGTTTAACTTGAGCTGAATAAATTTCGATTTAAAGCTTTCGTGACTGCAGGGATTCATCTTCTTGGTTCTTTCGGTAAAGTCACGTAGAAGGGAAATAATAAAATAATAAAAATACAACATAAGATTTATTTTTACTTATTTTATTTTATTATTTCCCTTCTACGTGACTTTACCAGAAAGAACCAAGAAGTTGAGCTGAATATTTCCTCAAAGCCGATTGTGAATTCTGAGACCAGGTCTCTTTTACTTTAGCTGGATGTGGTGTCATGGACAAAATACAGCACTTACTTGTAGTTGTCATCTTCTACAAACTTCTGCAGTTCCTCAATGTACTGCACAGACTGAAGGTACTTTTGGACATGGAGTAGCATTGGTAGGAAGTCTGCACAGACACGCATAAATATAATATCACCACCACACTACCACGGTTTGCCTCACAAAGGTATAATCGTGCTTAAGCAGTGCATATCTCTGTTGGCAGTCCGGAGATAATCGTGAACATTCTATGGTGATGCGTGGTCTATCCAAAGCAAATATTATACAAATGTATCTAAGAATCCGTTTCAATAAACGAGCATTGTGTATGAAAGGCGTTAACACATTAATGTAATTTGAGTAGGCATAAGTTATATGCTAAATAGGTTATATTTTCCAAAGCATTTTTCCTGTAGGAAGGCATTTTGTGCCATCGTAAAGAATGCACAATATCATAAGGCTGTAATTCTATAAATGTTGCCTCTCAACCTAATGGAACACTTAGAGAATGGTCATTTTGTATTCGTCTAAACTGACAGATAATTGTTTGGAATTTCAGTGGCCATGCTCCACACTGACCCTAAAGCATAGTCTGTAAAAACTTCACCATCAGTTAAAGAAAATAAAAGTGCATCCTTTAAAAGTTATTAATTTGTTTGGACAGCTGCAGAAAGTTTACAAAAAAAAATTCAAAAGGAAAACAGAGCTTACTACACAGCAATTTTTATAGTTAAATAACACTTTAAATTGTTTAATTGTTATAAATTTTTAAATGTTTAGGTAGAGCACACAAAGTGTACAGTTTGTAAAGAGTGAATCACGGTTTGATGGCCTTGGTCTTGAACTTTTATGCGAATTCCAGTCTCACTGCTGCTCTTTGGCATTTTATTCAAAACCCTGATAACTAGACACACTGTATCGTGGGATCACAGCACTGCAAGTCTACGTGGACCAATCATAACTCAATAAAATGTTGTAAGCAACTAAAATCTTCTGCATTTAACAATATACATTCCGATAGTGCCAACGAGTGGTCTGGATAAAACTTCAAACCGTTGTTCTGGACATGTAGAAAAACAGCCTATTACTTCAGATGAAAACAGGTTCCAAGAAAAGCAACAGGATCGTAATTTTAAATTATGATTTTACATTCAACTATAATCCAATAACAAAAATGGCACCCACCTAATATGATCAGCGCAACACAATTCGCAAGCCTCCCTTAAATAGCATTAACGTCCCCCGTGTTATTTGTCACATTAGATAATGAGTGCAAATATCGAAATGAGTAAGTGTGCGTTACATAAAACCATATCATTAGTATTCCCTCTGTCCGCTTTATTCGTTACGTAATAAAACAAATATTGATGTTGGGAGAGTTCGTGGAAATGTATTAGTCCACAGAGCCAGCAGCAAGTGCAAAAGTCTTTGCAAAAGGGGCACGCATTTGCTTTGAGTGGTTTCGATCAGCCGAGCAATTCCAATCCACATGGCATCATTCAAATGCTAGTCTTGCTGTCAAGCACACTGCTGGCTGAGTAAAACTAATTCAATGCGACAGTCACATGCAACCAAATGTTTTACATTGCCCGCTAGAAACCCGTGCACTGGTGAGTGAACGGGAGTACACAAGGGCAACAAGGGGTTTTGTATTTTGATAGTCTGAACCAAAAAAAAACTTGCTTGTCCCACCAACTTACTGAACTCCGGGGTTCAGCACTGAGATGGCACAACTGAAACGCTGGGTTTGCTATCAGGCAGCCACCCAATTAAACCGGATTCTCAAGTGTAGTCAGCTGATGGTCTTCGCCTGGTCACCGGTGACCGAAAATAACCGCGCCACATTAAATTTGGCTGCGCACACACCTAGGTCAACATCCACCCTCTGACGACTTCAAAATATCAGTTCCAATATTCATATGACGAGCGTCACTCTGCGTTGCATTGGCGGGAGGAAGAGAGGTGCCCCCTCCTGTGTGGACCGAGGGTCACCTGAAGGGACAGAGGTATTCCGCTTGCATGGGCCATCCTGCAGCAGAAAGGATGGCACTGCACTGCGAGAAATCCATACGGATCCTTTGTCTCATGACACAACTCCAAGAGGACAATCGAGTGCAAAAAATAAAATACAGGGTGCTTCAAAAAAATGTTAACACTTACATGTGACTATCGTTTGCAATGGAAAAAGACGGTAACATGACAGCAAGTGTATGTTGATCTATTCAAAAAGTCAATGAGTCTCTCCACTTGTTCGCCATCATTGTCAACACGTGCCTGGAATCTTCTCCAGGTGGTCTCCAGAGCCCGGAGGCACATTTTTTGTGGTATTGTAGCAAATTCTCAGAAGTGTTAAAACATTTTTGAAGCACCCTATATACATGCAAAAGCAAACTACTGAACTCAGTGGTGAGTTCTTCACGTCCTTGTAGAACCACAGATGTCATGGAAAGCCCTTGGCAGCTGTGCTGAGGGAGACCTCACCATATTGACAGAACTGTTGGAAGTCGGAGATGACCCTGAGTATGTTGTTCATGTGCAGAGACCTCTTTTCGCTCTCCAAGATGCTGCCAGATGCCGGATGGGCAGAGTCAATGTACACGACGTCCGACAGGTATATGCCTGCAAGGAACAGAGAGAAATAGACATTTGATTAAATTCGCAGCAAGTTGCCAAGGGGGGTGGCAGCAGTGGCGCAGTCATGAGCACACTCCGCTATAACCTCAGTGTCTTGAGGTCGATCAGTGGCAGAGGTCGCAACCGGGTACCCGATACTCGTACCCTACCCGATACCTGGCTACCCGTACCCGGCCAGGTACGGGTACGGGTAGCCGTTTGCGACCCTGGTGCGGCCGGGTACGGGTACGGGTAGGCCGTGAGTCACTGGTGAGTAACCGTTTGTCACTCATTTCGGGTAGGGTACGGGTACGGGTAGGAAACGGGTACCCGTACCCGGCCGGGTACGGGTACGGGTACCCATTTGCGACCCTGGTGCGGCCGGGTACGGGTAAGGAATCAAAACCCGTTTGCGACCTCTGATCAGTGGTGAACTCTGAATCAGTCTTCGACCCCCCCCTACCCCCCACCCTTCACCAACCGACACTGACCGGCATGGTGAAGCATGGTCAAACAACACCCATGACAACTTGTGGTATGGCGAGGTCTTCGTCCAGTTGCTGATTGACAAAGGGCTATAAACAAAAATGTTGCTATTAACCCTAAAAGTTCTGATACCCACATACAACAGACAACATGCCGTACATGAATATAGCGGTGTCACTCTTTGCCAATGCACCGCCACACTCATTCATCTCCTACTGGATATCTGTTAAAAAGGGCGTCGCAGCTCATAGGTTTCCTCCAGTCTAAATACATATTCTGATTCTGATTCTGCATTTGTAAAATGAAGGTAAAGGAGCGGTTAGCCAAAGTTAACTCTTCAGGAAACAATTCTAACAAAATTAATGATTTAGTACATGACCGTATGTGACTACAAAAGCCACACATTCAAATTATTAATTGATGGTTTCTATTATTTGATTGTGTAACATTAGGCATCAAAGTGGTCCGTGAAAATTATCTTAATTATGATAAATGTGTGTAATTTATTTCGTACCTAATGACAAAATTTAAATACGGATTATGCACATTCCTAAGCTGTAAGGGTTGTTTATGAAATATCTGGTCGCAAAATTGGATTTGTATTCATAGAGACCAAAATAAGAATTTGACATGCTGCATAACCTTCATTAAAGCACTAGTTTGGCAATGAGCCTTGGTGTTGAAACAATATGTGCTCCTTCATGGAAATAAAAAAAACTTAAACCACATTCAAAATGCTTTCCAGTTCATTATTTTAATCATATTTACCCGATTTACTTCATCAAAATAATAATCACCAGTACGTTGAAAACCAAACATGTGCAAATTATTAAAAGCAAGACCTAAAATGAAATCCAAATGAATCCCACTTGCATCAGTCCAAAGCACTGTACAAATAAAAAAAAATAACTCCCAGAGTCAGATGCACTGAAGTTCAGCATTTGGTTTATGTTGAATATTGATACAGTAAAATTTCTACTTGGGTATTGATCTGTTTTGCCATTGACTTTGTGTAACCTGACTGCATCACACAGCCTAACAGCACGCCTGATGGTGCTAGATTGCCAAACTGTGTCAACACTCTTTTTTAACTAAAATAATACCACATCAACCAATGCAGGAGAACTGCGCAGATGGAGGTCACATGCCCTAGATAATTCAGTGATATATTCTGGCAGGTTTGGATAAACTATTTGATTTACAAGCAAGCACAAAGAATGTGTTTTCAAGACTTGAGGCGTTAAAAGGCACAATTGCCAGGAAATGTTTCTATCTCATGTGGCTCCAAATTACTTTGCCTTGAATGATGATGAATACAAAAGGAAGCTTTATTTATTCACGGATGTTTATGCAAGTGCACTGGCATGACAACTCAAATTCTAGTAGCACTAGCAATATAACTAAAAGCCTCCCAACAGGCGAGGAGAGATTGAGGCTTTCTACAAATCCCAAGCCTATGGCCACGTGATGAAATAAATCGGTCGCGACTCGGTGCCAATCGGTGGATGAAAAAAGACAGGGACCCAGTTTTCCATGGGTTCCATTTGTTTATTTAACACGTAGGCTTTCGCGGCCAATTTTATCCATAACAGAATGTTTTTTTTGGGTTATATTGCGTAAATATATCGCTTGTGGCTCCAAATAGATAGGAAGATTTTTCCACAATTCTGGCAGTCGCTTGATGAGGCTGGTTGTAATTACCGGCAAAATGTTGTACTGAAATTGTAAATGTTATAAGTTTGCTCTCCAACACACCGGTGTGCTGAACGAGTAACAAATTGGCATGCTTTGTTTACGTGAAACACCTTACTAATTGGCTGTGTCGGGTGGTGGCGGGCTTAACGACACATTTATATCTACGCTATCTCTCTGGAAGTGAGGTCAAGCGTCTCAGGAACAATATGAACTCTCCAGGCTCTACAAGCACTCTCCCGCCAGAGAAGAAGACATCACGTGCAGGACTATCCTTGCCTCAGCGTGCCACCGATCGCTGCAATTTCATCAGATGTTTCCCAGTACTTATGCATCCAATATTTCTGCTATTCATTCGAAGTTTGATTTTCAGTTAGGTCAGTTGTGGCCATAAAAAAAGGCTTTCCAGCTCTGACTCATTGCTTACAAAGTCATGGTGAAAATGCCATCACTGCCGACGGCGTTGATACCACTGTAGTTTGCCATCACTTTCTTCCTACCCCAAGATCCCATATAGTTGATGCAAAATGTACACGTCCAAGTTCCGCTATTAAATGAGTACCGCACCATCTGCCTTTAGTTCATCCCCATGGTTGGTGACCTCTGGGTGCAACTCGAATGGCTGTCTCAGCAGCGTGCCCTCTTTCCATCCTGCACACGTGTTCCACCCATCACAAACTCCTTTTCGTCATTACATCTGCAACACTTTATTTTCTACGTTCCATCCTAAACTTTCAAGTTCGTAGCAAGTTGGTTAAGCTTACGGCTAGCTTATTAGAAATATGCATATATTTAAAGACCAACTGCCTCTTTCCTCGTCACATTTTGCAGGCCCAAGTCTCTTAGCCATATCGTAACACGCCTCCTTATCACTCTTGTATCGCTACTACCGTGGCTGCTGTTCCTGTGAGCGTCACTCATTGATTCCTCCAACCATGTCGCGGACTGTTTCATCTCATCCGTACCATGTTCAACCACCACACCGCAGGTCACAACCACTCCGCTTTCTGCTTCTTCCCTCGCGCTTCTCCTCTTTGCAAAAATCTTACCACTTCTTTTTCAGCAACAGTTTAACACCGTGCTAAATTTAAGAAACAATAACTATTTGGGGTCGGTGCTCAGCAAATGTTTTCGCAAACAAACAAAACTCCACACAAACATTAATGTTGCTGCAAAACTTAAGTTTATCTTTCTTATTTCAAAGCAGACCACCAAAAATGAGCAATTGTGATGCAATATATCTCGAGCCCCATTTCCTATACCGCATTATGCACATTACCGTCTTCACAAGGGTGATTAAACTTACATATCACTACCAGGTAATTCGATGAAAGCCCAAAGAAATATACCAGATGCTCTGCACAGCACCTTGAGATACCTTTTGCATTAAATGATACATCGATGCAAGTGATTTATTACATATGCGTATTGTATTACACTGGCAGGAATTTCAAACTGAGCAAATTTCATGGCCTCATTATTTGACCACTGGTAATAGAAATAGTTTTCATGGTCATTACGTACTTTGCATTGTTGTCAATTTACAATACACACACACGAGTCCTTCTCCATAATATCGGTTTTTGTTGTTGGTTAGATCGCGTAAATATAAATGTGTCGTTAAACCAGGAGGATTTCTCCACAAATATGGCTGTCGCCTGATGAAGCTAGTTTAAATTACTGGCGAAATGTCGTACTCAGATTGTAAACGTTGTGGATTTGCTCTCCAACACACCGGTGTGCTGTATTAGTAAGGAATTGGCATGTTCTGTTTACGTGACAAACCTTACTAGCTGGCTGTGTCGGGTGGTGGCGGGTTTGACGACACATTTATATTTACACGATCTAATCCAAAAATATATATATATTATGGATGATACTGGTCGCGAAAGCCTACGTGTTAAAGGATCCTTCTGTTAAGAGTCTAATGAAGAACTGTCCATTGTCTGGATGTGTCTCAGACCGTATTATGAAAGACGTGATGAACAGTAAAGCAAATTTGAATGAGTAAAACACTGATGCTGCCAACTCGCTAATTTTAATTAATTGTCGATCCAGGCTGCTCATCTTCATTTCCATTCTGTGTGATACTTTAAAAACTGTCAATTATTTTTTCGGTTTTCAATTGCCCAAACTCAAAACGCTTTTTACCCAACCAATCGAAAAAATATTATTAGTCCAGAAGAGTAAAGGTTTAAGTACTTGTGGTCAGAATTTTTTTTCCATTCCACAAACTTCAAACTGGTATATTGAGTTCTTTGGTTTTTTCGGTAAAGTCACGTATAAAAATAAAATAATAAATTAAATAATAGCATACGACGTTTCGATTGCAACACAAGCAATCATCATCAGGTATAATGAAATAGCGACATAGAATATAACCAGAAAACTATAGACAGACATATAAGCAGACAGATATCACCAAGATACATAGAGAGAGCAACCCAGGTACAGAGAGAGGTGATCGTCTCTGTGGGGTGGCCTTAAATAGACAGAGGGGGGCGGAGGCAGAGAGTGGGAGGGGGTAGGGAAAACATTTACATGTCAATGAATACGAAGGGAGGGGATTTCAAACTGGCCTATTGAGCCTATGTTATTTGCAATGAGCCGTGGATGCAATTTAGCGGCACACATTTTTGGTGCGGACGTTAGACAACAAATATCCAAACATTGTGCTCTCATACTCTTAGGTATTTTTCCGGTAAAGTAACGTAGGGAAAAAGAAAAAATAATAATAAAAATAATAATAGAAATAATAATAGAAATAAAATAATATATCACGTTTTATTAAAAATAAAAAAATAAAATAAAACATTTATAGAAATAAA